CAAAAAACCAATTGAATTGTTTCTTTCATCAGAAAGTCCAATTATCTTTCTGCAAAATCACATTGAAAAAGGTTTAAAATGTCTTATGTCTGAATTTTTTGGAAGCGCGAAGTCAGGTGGTGTAGACACTTTAGTCAGGTGGTGTAGACACTCGATAACGCGGTGTAGACACTTTAGCGTAAAGGAAACCTATCTTCGTGTCAATAGATAAAAGATAGAGCACAAAAAGTTAGATATATAACGAAATTTTCAGAGAAATTCATTCAGCCAATTTCTTTGTAGAGGTTTTTACAGAATTTTGCGAAAAGCATTTTTTAGCACTCTCGAATTTGCTTGAAAGTAAACCAAAATTGACTTAAAAAGATGGGAAATTGAACAATAAACACTTTTTCTTGAGAGAAAACCATAGATTTATTGGTGATTCTGTGATTTTTCAAAGAAAGTATGAAAAGGACACTTTCTTGGACAGAATAAGAATTACATGATTAGACACTACGTTTTCATTCAATGATTTGAAGCTGAACGTTATTTCTGGCGTTATAAAGCTATATTAGACGATAGAATGTAAATAAACCAAATAAAAGGGTTATGAACCATTTATGAGCCATTTATGAGCCATTTATGAACCATTCGGTTTGGAATATTATGTGAAGACTTTATTGCAATTACAGCTCGTCATTAGACCCTCATTTGTGTGAATTGAATCAAAAAAATTGAAACATTCAATTTTCGAATAAGAGCAAATCGGTAAAGAACGAGATTTAGCTTAATTGAATTAAAAAAAAACTTTAAACTAACCAGCCATAATGACAGGGATGATGCTTTTCATGATCAGCTCCGGTCTCGTCACTGCCATTTGACTAATGCCTACCGCTGATTTAGCCGTGCCGTAGGCGGCGCCGAGCACCGTGAAAACCTGAGTGAAACGTTTTTTTCGCACATTTGCATTTCGCATTTCGCATTTGCATCGTTCTTGTTCAAATTTATGTACAAAGTTTCAAAAAGGACTAGAATCTTGTTAAAGAACATAGCTTGAAGGTCTTTTTGTTTTTAAGCAAATCTGTTTTCGAGCAAAACTCACCTGAGCCGCCGTACATCCCATGAATCCAAAAAATGGGGCGTATGGTGGTGCCGATGGATTTGGTGGATAGTAAAATCTGGCTGAAATTGAAAAAAAATGAGAGCAATGTATTAATCAACAATTAATGATCACATTCAATTTCACTCATCTTTCAAATTGAAACTTGCTTTTTTCAACTTAGGAAATGCTTTAAATTTAATTTTAATGTCAAGATTTTTGAACAAAGCTTAATGTGAGAGAAAATTTGGTCATTTACATATTTCTGTGATTTTGAATCATTTCTATTGACTCTATACTCGCAAAAAAAGTCTTTAAAAGTTTAAAAGCCTTTAAAAGTCTTTAAAAGTTCTTTAAAAGTTCTTTACAAGTTCAAAGTTCTTTAAAAGCGTTTAAAAATTCTTAGAAGTTCTTTAGAAGTTCTTTAAAAGTTCATTAGGTTCTTTAAAAGTTTAAAAATCTTTAAAAGCTCTTTAAAAGTTCTTTAGAAGTTCTTAAAAGTTTAAAAGTCTTTAAAAGCTCTTTAAAAATCTTTAAAAGCTCTTTAGAGGTCTTTAGGAGTCTTTAAGAGTCTTTAAAAGCTCTTTAAAAGTCTTTAAAAGCTCTTTAAAAATCTTTAAAAGCTCTTTAGAGGTCTTTAAGAGTCTTTAAAAGCTCTTTAAAAGTCTTTAAAAGCCTTTAAAAGTTCTTTAAAAGCCTTTAGGAGTCTTTAAAAGTTCTTTAAAAGTCTTTAAAAGTCTTTAAAAGTTCTTTAAAGTTCTTTAGAGGTCTTTAAGAGTCTTTAAGAGTCTTTAAAAGCTCTTTAAAAGTCTTTAAAAGCTCTTTAAAAATCTTTAAAAGCTCTTTAGAGGTCTTTAAGAGTCTTTAAGAGTCTTTAAAAGCTCTTTAAAAATCTTTAAAAGCTCTTTAGAGGTCTTTAAGAGTCTTTAAGAGTCTTTAAAAGCTCTTTAAAAGTCTTTAAAAGCTCTTTAAAAATCTTTAAAAGCTCTTTAGAGGTCTTTAAGAGTCTTTAAAAGTTCTTTAAAAGCCTTTAGGAGTCTTTAAAAGTTCTTTAAAAGTCTTTAAAAGTCTTTAAAAGTTCTTTAAAGTTCTTTAGAGGTCTTTAAGAGTCTTTAAGAGTCTTTAAAAGTTCTTTAAAAGTCTTTAAGAGTTCTTTAGAAGTTCTTTAAAAGTGTTTAAAAGCCTTTAAAAGTTCTTTAAAACCTCTTTAAAAGTTAAAAGTTCTTTAAAAGTTAAAACTTTTCTTTGAATCCTATCAAAAATCTGACCAAGAAATTCACCAGAAGTCGAGTTCGTCGCATTCGTCAAATTATTGATGTCGAAAGTCAAATTTTCTACCAAATCAACCATTTTCTTGAGAATTTTTCAGAAAAAACACTTCTTGTTTTTGACAAAATAAATCAGTTTTGAGGTGAAATTTCTTTTGCTTTTTTTAAAGCAAGACAAAGCATGGGTGGAAATGAGGAAGGATGATTCAAATTTATACCAAGGGAAATTTTTTGAATATTTTTTGGCATTAATGGTCGTTAAACTTAAGACAGTTTCTTTTCGTTAAAGAAAATTGTTTTTTTGTTAAATAAAACATGTTTCTTCTTTGTTTTATTTATTCATTTTCATATTTTCATTTATTTATTCATTGCTTTGACTAAGAAAAATGGATTGTAAAGAGGAATTTTTAATTTTCAACAACTTCCGTCATCGAGATTCGCTCTTGACGAGGAAGTTTTGGCTCTTGGCTCTTGGCTGAAAAGAAAGCAATTGATTGCTTGATTTGCTTGATTTTAGAAAACTGTTATAGGATATATTGGGTTGGGGAGAATGAGTCGGCGCCAAACTTTAAAGGAACTTTTTGCACACATAAAGCCTTCTTTAAACATACGTTTGGTTTCATCGAAAGGATCCACTATTTCTCTACAAAATGACTTTTGAGAGATTCCAAAAAGCTTTTCTTTCGTGGAGTTTATGAACTTCGAAACGCAGCTGGTTAAAATGGCAAAGAGTCCGACTCATCATTTGAACAGTTTCTTTCACATAAACCTTCTTTGGTGTTTATATAAAAAAGATAGAGCACATTCAATTACTTAAGTTGCCAAATTTGCAGGAAGATCCCACCAATGGTTTTTTCTAGATCACAGTTTGTAGTTTTTGTGAAAAAATGGCTTTTTCTTGAGCGGAGGCGCTGTTTGAATTTTCTTTTAAATGTCATTTCGTAGAGAATTAGTTAACCATTCTACTCATATCAAACGCATATTATTTGACGAAGTCGAATTGAAGTTTTAGACATTTTTTGATTTTCGGCGCCGACTCATTCTCCCCAACCCGATAGTAATGATATAATAATCAGCCAATCAACCAATCAATGAAGATCAATGAAGACATTCTTAAACTCACTCGAATGACTTGTCGATAACAATCGTCTGAGTGATTTCTTCAAATAAAAGACCCAATGACAGTGTGGAGATTTGCGTCTAAAAGGATCCAATCGTCTGAGTGATCCCTTCAAATAAAAGACCCAATGACAGTGTGGGGATGACAGAATGACAGACAATGACAGAATAAAAGGATCCTTTTCAAAAGTACTAACTTGTTTTGTTATTCATTCTAAACAATCAAAAAAAAATCTACTATATTAGTTTTTAACTAGCTGTCATGCAATACTTTTTCTTTTGATCTGTCTTTGTTTATTTTGTGGTTGTTGTTGATGATGCTTGTTCAACAACGGAAGTTGTTGAACAAGCATCATCATTAAAAATCGTTATTTTAAAAAAATCGTAAAAGTGGGAATGGTTTAGATTGAAACATGGTATTTTTGAGAATATCATAGCTATTCAAATATTGAATTTGTAACGAAAACATCTATCAGTCTGGCTCTTTCTTATCAATAAGTACTCTTAAAAAATCGGGTATCTTTAAAAAATAACGGGGGTCTTAAAAAAACGGGCATCTTAAAAGAAATCGGGTACTTTAACCGTCTATCAGTTTCATACAACGATTCATCAACCAAATTTTTACATTTACCTTTTTCCCTCTTTTGTTTTAAGACTTTTATCACTTTTTTGTTTTTGATGACTTAAAGCTGAATGTATTGATGATAGTTTTCTTTAGTACAACTCAATGTAACTTGGTCAATTACTTGATTTGAGTTGAGTTTATCAAGTCAAAGAGCAGGCAGGCTTAGAGCAGGTTAGAGTAGGCTTTTTGAACTTGGTCAATTACTTGATTTGACTTGATAAACTTTGGATATTAGGCTGTCTAGAAAGTCTTTTCGTTCTTTTTCGGACTTTCGTTTAAAACCAACAAATGCACTAATTGAACTACGGTTTATTTCACCAGAAAGTCCACTTATTTTTCTCCAAAATAACATTAAAAAGGGTTTAAAATGTCTTATGACTAGATTTTTGAGAGCATGAAGTCGGATAGTCAAAAAGTCAGCTCGATGATGCGGTGTAGACACTTTAGCGCTAAGGAAACCTATCTTCGTGTCAATAGATAAAAGATAGAGCACAAAAAGTTAGATTTCGGGTACTTTAACCGTCTATCAGTTTCATACAACGATTCATCAACCAAATTTTAGCATTTACCTTTTTCCCCCTTTTTTTCAAAGACTTTTATCACTTTTTTGTTTTTTATAACTTAATTCTGAATGTATTGATGATAGTTTTCTTTAGTGCAATTCAATGTCTATGCAATTTCCCATATTTTTGGCCTTTTTCAACACTCCATTCGACCTCTTCGTGGAACAACGAAAGATCATCTAAAGACATATCTTTTTGAATATATTTTCAAAAGGGCTACTCGAAAGAAACAAGTTTTCCAACAATTCTTGCTGAGAATAGAATCCGTTACCATAAAAACCATAGCCTAAACGCTTCAAAAAACACATTTATACATAAACATCAACGCAAAACATCAAATCGCTGTATAAGGTACCAGTTTCACAGTTAAAGTATCAGCATTTTACCAGATTCAACAATCATTTGATGCAGAATAAAATTACGCATCGAATGATACCAAAATTAACTCAAAATGCAATATCCATGCAAAGTTGTTGGCTAAAAACCTAAACCCAGTCCATTATGGGCGAGACTTAACCTTTTGCCTTATAACTTTGCATGGATATTAAATTTTGAGTTAACTTTAATATCATTCGATGCGCAATTTTATTCTGCATCGAATGATAGTCAAAATGGTCAAAATCAAAGGGTTGGTGCTGAGAAAAACACAAAAAACCTTAAATTGCCAACGGCAAAAAAGGACCGACAGATCTTTTCGTTACAAGTCGACAGTGAACCCACAGTCACTTCCATGTTGTCTTGAATTGCCTGCTCTGCAGCAGCTGGTACTCGAATGATACCAAAGTTAACTCAAAATGTAATATCCGTGCAAAGTTATGAGGCAAAAGGTTGAGGCATAATAGGCGGGGTTTTTAGCCAACAACTTTGCATGGATATTAAATTTTGGGTCAATTTTGGTATCATTCGATGCGCAATTTTATTCTGCATCGAATGATAATCAAAATGGTCAAAATTGAGGGGTTGTTACTGAGAAAAATACAAAAAACTTTCCAACGGCAAAAAAGGATCAACAGATGTTTTTTTGTTACAAGTTGAATTCATCAAAAAACAGCGGATTTATTGAATTTCTTGATATAAAAGAATTTGAGCAATTTTATTATACAATTCTGACAGTAATCCATTCATTTTTGATTAGAAATCTGATTTTTTCGGGTTTGTCGATGATGTGAGTGGATTTCCGAGTGAACGGTGATTGTTGAACGGGCTCCTTGTGGAAGTCGTTTCTTTTCTCGTTGAAAGATTATGTAAATCAAACTGAAATTGGTTTATTTCGAATCTGTGTCATTTCTAGATTGAATCCATCTTTAAAACGAATTCAAATCAGTTTCAATCGACTAAAAACTCACCAATTCATGCAGCACAACGCTTGCCAAGAGAATGTGAATAAGATAAAGAAATGGAAATTCGTTTGCACATAAAATTGTCCCAATGTCGTTGCCAAATTCATCAAAATTGTCCCAAACATCGAAGCGAGCATCTGTAAGTTTCAAGTTTTACTTTGAAAACGATGAAAACAGGGAATTAGTGAGGACAATAGATTTATCATCAAATTTTCGAATCTGTAAGTTTCAAGTTTTAGTTTGGTCGAGATGAAAACGGGAAATTAGTGGGGGTGACGGATTTGCTATCAAATTTTCTCAATTTCCCATAAAAATTTAATGCTTTTGGTGTATTTTGAAGCAAATGGCTTGTCTTTTATCATTCTGTTATCATTCTTTTATCATTTTAAGACCATTGAATACTTGGCAAGCTAAACGAAATTGCATTCGGACATCTCGCTCTTCTCGACCCGTTTGCTTCATGTGTTGACTGGATAACTCCTGAAAATTTTTGAAGCTTTTTAAAGTATCCGTGGAAGTTTATGATTTCATTTTGTCTCAATTGCTTTTGGATTTTCGATGATTTTAGTCGCTTTTAGCAAGCTTGACGATAGAAATTGATGTGTGCAAATCCGTTTACTCTGTAAACCTTTTGAAACAAGAACTCTTTTTAGAACAAGAAAGTCGAGCAATTGAATTTTAAATTTATGCAGCTTTTTTTTCTATCATTCTTAGTTCTTTTTTCCGTAAAATTTCAAACCTTCATCCTTTTTCTTAAAAGCAAGAAACAACCCAAGTCGAAAACACCCGAAAACACCATTTCCACATAGCCAAAGTAGAGCTGAAAAAGGAATATCGTATTTTCTCTAATAGTAGTGCACCCCAGCGAGCCGAGTTGGTGACTATTTTACGGTTTCCAAGCTTTTGCAGAAGCTCAACACTCTAATCCTCCACTAGATCTCATCGTCAGCTACATTTTCCGATCCCACATCGATAGGTTCTGATAAACGGTTCTCGAGATTTCGAGGAATTTAAGCGACGCTCACTACTATTACACTACGCTCACTACGGTATTTACCAATTGCCATCTAGCATTCACTGATTTACCATCTAGCAATTTTGCTAAACTGATTTAGCAGTTTAGCATTTACCAATTGCTAAATTTAGCAGTTGGTGGACCTGGGCCCAGAATTATAGGCCTCCGGGTAGATCAAAGTGCACAAGTAAGTGACTTTGATATAAAATATCAAGAATCATTATACCTTATTTTCTCTAATAGTAGTGCACCCTGGCAAGCCGAGTTGGTGTCTATTTTACGGTTTCCAAGCTTTTGCAGAAGCTCAACACTCAAATCCCCCACAAGATCTCATCGTCAGCTACATTTTCCGACCCCACATCGATAGGTTCTGATAAGCGGTTCTCGAGATTTCGAGGAATTTAGGCAACGCTCAGGGTGCACTACTATTAGAGAAAATACGGTAGAGCTATTATTTGACTGTCTAGAAAGTCTTTTCGTTACTTTTCATGAAAAAATAACAAATTCAGCATCAAGAATGATTGCATTTCAGCATTTTTGTCTTATTTTACGAAGGATTTATCGTAATCTTAATTTAAAAGAGTTTGGTTATTTGAATTCTAACAGTTTACATTTAAACTGTAAAATTTGTTACCTAATCTTCACAAATATGCCCTGAAAATTACGCTAGATTCAAGCCAGACAATCCTAACTATCTACTATATATAAATCAGAAGAGATGTCCGTCTGTGCAGACACAGGCAGTCTGTCTGTGCAAAGCCATTGGCAAAAAAAGGAGCGGGGCTTAGATTTCGTGGAAAAATGATAAAACTGATAAAATTGGTAAAACTGTTAAAGCTGGTAAAACCAGTAAAACTATTAAAACTAGTAAAACTGATATAGCAATTGAATAGTTTCGCTTTCGTGGAATTAATTTGATAGCATGAATATCTTTCACCTGTACAATATTCACATACGCAATCCCACATTCACCGAAGATCACAAAGAATGGAATCGGTTGAGCCAAATAGGTGACTTGACAATCGGCTGAAATCTTCAAGTAAAAGTCAAATTTACATTTAATAAATAAATTTTGGAGTCTAATACATGAAGAATCTGCAAAAAAAAACAAACAAAAGCTTTCCTTGAGTCATTCAAAGAAAATTGTGCTTAAAAAAAGCTCCTCGTGTACTTTTGTCATTTCTGTATCAACGGCTTGCTCATTCATATCTTTAAACCATTTTATTTGTTTATCTTTTCAAATTAAATATAATAATGGTGAACTTTCATCTCATTGGGCTAGGTTTACGACCTGGGGATTAGCCACGGATCCAGAACCTGATAGTGGGATCAACTCGGAGCCAAGCCATGAGTCAGGTTCGGGCCTGGGCTCACTTTAATCAACTTCTCCTCGTGCACTTTTGTGATTTCTGTATCAACGGCTTGCTCATTCATATTTCCCTAGCATTTGCTTGTCTTTTGTTGCGCTTTCTTTTGCTTTTCTTGATCGATTCGTTGTGACATTTTGGAGTCTAATACATGAAGAATCTGCAAAAAAAACAAACAAAAAAAACAAACAAAAAAGGCAACAAAAGCTTCCTTGAGTCATTCAAAGAAAATTGCTTAAAATTAAAAAAAAACCAGCAATTCTTCACGAATTAGTCAACTCAATGCCTAAACGACTTAATAAAGTGATCTTGGCAAAAGGTGAACCGACTGAATTCATTTTTATTCATTTTTGATGTTTCTTTATAATGTTGTAAGACTTTTGCACCCAGTTTTTTGGGTATTTTTTTTGTGGTTTTGTCATTTACTTTTTTTTTCATACACTGAACCTCTAATTTGTTTTTTTTTGTAAATAAAGTGTACATGTATTAGTCTAAATAAAAACAAAAAAGCCCTACGAAAGGGTAGAGATTTTCTTTAAAAAAATTTCATGAAAAAGTGTTGTTGCAAGACTTTGGCTCGGCTTAGGCTTAGGCTTAGGCTTAGGCTTAGGCTTGGACTTAGTGCGAAGGCTAGCGGCTAGCGCATCACACTAAGTTTATTTAGGTTTGGTTTCTGTGCTTTTATCGGATCAAATCGGTGGTTAAAGTTGAGACATTTCAGCCCTATGATTTCTGTGCTTTTATTGGGTCAGAAATTGGAGATGGTTGAGACCAAACCCAAATAACTCTTTTGTAACCAAAAGCCTTAGCCTAAAGTTCTCAAATAAGTTCCTTAGCCTAACCAAATAACCAAAAGCCTTAGCCTAAAGTTCTCAGTATTGTTAATGCAGCAGGCCGTCTTAAATGGCTTAGGCTTGAGGCTCCAGGTTTAGGCCTAGGCTTAGGCTTAGGTTTAGGTTTAGGCTTGAGGCTCCAGGCTTAGGCTTAGGTTTAGGCTTAGGCTGGCTATGAATCAAATGATTTCGCTAGCAAAAATCATTTGATTCATAATCGCCTACGACATATATTTGACTAGCTTCCCTTTGTAGATTTGACTAGCTTCTCTTTGAAACATTTCATTTTGAAATTTGAAATGATTAGCTTACTTTCTAGACTATAGACTAATTAAGACACAAAAAAATTCCCTAGAGATTTCAAAGGACAAAATTTTTGCTCACGAATGAAAAGCGGAAGCGATACGATAATCGGATATCCAATTAGAACAAAGTATTGTACTTTTCGATATTTTTCCAAATAACGATAGAAAAGACCGCGAAAAGCAACGGAGAAATAGCGATTGATGCCGAGAAGAATCTCAAAAAAGGATTTGGCTTTTGAAACAATGATAGTTTTTTCATTTTGAATTTAGAACCTGAAAAACAAAATCTTTCAGGTTCTATAAAGAAATTGTAAAATTCAAGTTTCAAAGAAAAGGAGTAAAAGTAAATTTTCAAATGTTCAATGCTGATCTTTTCTAGGTTCTATCAAATTCGAGGTTTTAGACAATTTAGGTTCTAGGTTTTAGACAATCTAGATTCTAGGTTCTAGGTTCTAGACGATTTAGGTTCTAGTTTCTAGGTTTTAGACAATCTAGCTTTTAGGTTCTAGGTTTTAGACAATCTAGATTCTAGTTTCTAGGTTTTAGACAATCTAGGTTCTAGTTTCTAGGTTTTAGACAATCTAGGTTCTAGGTTCTAGGTTCTAGACGATTTAGGTTCTAGTTTCTAGGTTTTAGACAATCTAGGTTCTAGGTTCTAGGTTTTAGACGATTTAGGTTCTAGTTTCTAGGTTTTAGACAATCTAGGTTCTAGGTTCTAGGTCTTAGACAATCTAGGTTCTAGGTTCTAGGTCTTAGACAATCTAGATTCTAGTTTCTAGGTTTTAGACAATCTAGGTTCTAGGTTCTAGGTCTTAGACAATCTAGGTTCTAGGTTCTAGGTCTTAGACAATCTAGGTTCTAGGTTCTAGGTCTTAGACAATCTAGGTTCTAGGTTCTAGGTCTTAGACAATTTAGGTTCTAGTTTCTAGGTTTTAGACAATCTAGGTTCTAGGTTCTAGGTCTTAGACAATCTAGATTCTAGGTTCTAGACGATTTAAGTTCTAGTTTCTAGGTTTTAGACAATTTAGCTTTTAGGTTCTAGGTTTTTAAGGCTTAAAAATTTAAACCCCTGCCCCTAAATCTTTATTTTTCATTCAGCAACAGATTGATTTCGCAAAAAAATCAAGCATCAAGTGCGCCAGAAAGAATGTGTTTATGGATTTGTGCACAACGTACATCAAGATTTGTATCAAGCTAACAATAAGAGTCTATTTATCGGTTCTATTTCGTATTTCGCACGTATGTTTTTTCTGTGTTTCCTAAATCGTGCCCCCTTTGTCGCAAAGTTTTCTCCCTCGCCAGAGCGAGAGTCAGCTTTTCTGGGGATTCCTTTCCTACTTCTAAATTTATCGTTTACCGTTATTGTTATTCAATTGTAGTTTATCCTAAACATCGGCTAGAGTCAACCCCAATTTACCGCGTTCCAAAATGCTTATGATTAACTATAGAAAAAGCGCTGTATACGGCGCTTTGGAAGCTACAAACTCCTCAATGAAGCAAGAAATTCTTAGGCGCTTTTTGATAAAATATTTTTACCTTACAAATCATGACCAAAGGCACCATCGAGTAAGCGAGAGTGCCAAAGAATGTGCTGAAGAAAGGGATACTTTCATCAAAACCCCTGAAAAATTCTATCTACTATATAAAAAGCAAGTGAGTGTCTGTCTGTCTATCTATATGTCTGTCTATCTGTCTGTCTGTCTATCTGTCTGTCTATCTGTCTGTCTAGCTGTCTGTCTAGCTGTCTGTCTATCTGTCTGTCTGTCTATCTGTCTGTCTGTCTATCTGTCTGTCCAGCTGTCTATCTGTCTATCTGTCTGTCTATCTATATGTCTGTCTATCTGTCTATCTGTCTGTCTGTCTATCTGTCTGTCTAGCTGTCTGTCTATCTGTCTGTCTATCTGTCTGTCTGTCTATCTGTCTGTCTATCTGTCTGTCTGTCTGTCTGTCTGTCTGTCTATCTGTCTGTCTATCTGGCTATCTGTCTGCCTATCTATCTGTCTATCTATCTGTCTGCCTGTCTATCTGTCTATCTGTGGTGGTTAGCGTCCCATCTCCAAAACGATCGTCCTAAGCGGGTGACAGGTTCGATTCCCGTCCACTCCAAATTTTTTGCTTTTAATTTTTTCAAGCATAGAGCAAGTATGCAAATTTGAGTTTCCTCACAGTGAAAGTATTGTTGCATCCCTGTAACAGCTTGTATTGTTACAGGGGTGGCACAATACAAGTTGTACAAATTAAACTTACAATTAGGTAACAAGTAAACTTTAGCTGTTTGCTTTTATGCTTTTAAGCACTTCTGGAACCAGAAGCTGTTAGCTAAAAGTAGTTCATTGACAATCTATTGTAGTTTAATCTAAATTCTCACCATAAATTACTTGGTAAAGCCCAAAACAGATGACAAGCATTGATTACCGTAACTGAGAAAACATCGAGTAGACAATAATGTTCAACAATACCTAAAAAATGATATAAAAATTATCAATGATTCAATTTTCTCGTTAAGAAGACTTCCGACTATTGATTTTTTAATCCCAACTTTTGGATCGTTAATCTTGAAACAGGATTTTTTAAATCAATTTTAAAGCTTAGTGTTTATTTTAGGTTCAGTTTAACTTGTAAAAGTATGAATTTTTAATGGAATTTTTTCAAATTACCCGTTAAATAAGAGCACTTTTTGATGATCCATAAAGCATAAAAACCAGATGAGACACCGAAGAAGCCCATCTGAAATTTGGGGTTTCAATTTAGATGGGGAAAGTTTTCTTTGGGAAATTTTCTTTGGTTTTTTTTTTTGGGACAAGTTTTTATATCTTTTTTCTCTAATACCTTTCATTTCGAGAGTTTTTCTCTGTGTTTTAATAAGTTTTTATGCAGTATCGGTAAACTACCGTTTTCTTTTCTCTTTTTTTATCAAACTCATGCACTTTTTACCTCTTTTTTGTGAGCGTTCACAAAGGATATTGAAAGTTATAAAAAAATGGATAAAATTGGATTAATAAAGACAAGATTACACTAGAAAAAGATGGTCATTACTTAGTGGGGAACATGGTTTAGAAAGCGGATTAATCGGAAGGATTTAGAAAGCCGATTAATCGAAAGAACACTTGTGAGAACTTATGACCTCACTGTAAGAAATATATGTTTATACTTTGATCTTTATAATTTCTTGTGAGACCGCGTCTCGGTGTGGTTCAATGGTGGATTTCTTGAAAACGCACAATTTATCAAAAATTTTCCCTTATTAGGGCAAACTTGGACTATCACCTATCAACTGGAGCAACCTGGCACTATCACCTACCAACTGGAGCAACCTGGCACTATCACCTACCAACTGGAGCAACCTGGCACTATCACCTACCAACTGGAGCAACCTGGCACTATCACCTATCAACTGGAGCAACCTGGCACTATCACCTATCAACTGGAGCAACCTGGCACTATCACCTACCAACTGGAGCAACCTGGCACTATCACCTATCAACTGGAGCAACCTAGCACTATCACCTACCAACTGGAGCAACCTGGCACTATCACCTATCAACTGGAGCAACCTGGCACTATCACAATTACTTCAACACTTGCGTGTGAAAAAGGGATGAATAGAAAAAGGAGACCACAACTCACCCAAAATAAAGCTTAAATAATGGGTTTTTAAGTACACAAGCTACGACAAACGGACAACTGAATATCGTCTAGTGGCTGATTACGGTAGTTTATCCATCAACTTTGAATCTTTAACTTGTGTATTGAATTTTGACTAACTGCAGAGCAGTGGCAATTCGCTACAGGGAGAAGTATCCATTTTGGCCTTACTAAGTAATGACGGAAAAGAGATAAACGCCCTAATTTGAAACTCAACTTTTTAAATCGATGTCGATATATCGATTTTAAATGCTCGAATGAATCGAAATGCTGAGGAATCGAAATGCTGAGGAATTGAAATGCTGAGGAATCGAAATGCTGAGGAATTGAAATGCTGAGGAATCGAAATGCTGAGGAATTGAAATGCTAAGGAATCGAAATGCTGAGGAATTGAAATGCTGAGGAAGCGAAATGCTCGAATGAATCGAAATGCTGAGGAATCGAAATGCTGAGGGATTGAAATGCTGAGGAATTGAGAGCCTTTTTTGTACTCTTTTCTTGTAATCTTTCATATAAAAATTCTAATTTTTCGTGAACTTCTCAGAAAGAAAATTTAATTTTAAAAACAAAAGTTTCACTTTTTTTTTTGAAATTCTTTGGATAATCGTAGATAGAATTATCGAATTTTTAACCCACCAAGCCAATCAACAAATTCTCCACCGTCACCTCGTTCAACTCAATCGAAAACCCATCGGAAGACATTTAGCTTTAAAGATCAATTAAAAAATGGAAAGAAAATAGAAAGAAAATAGAAACTTTGAAAGTTTGAAAGTTTGAAACACAAATTTGCCCAAATCTCAACCCGGAACTCTCTTTAGAAGTTAATTTTTGAAAAATCTCTTTCCGTTTTCTCAAAAATCATGAAAAGTTCAAGTTTTGACGGCTAATTGTTAGTTTCAAGCTCTTTAAAAAGCCTTCTTTATTGAAAAGAGACTTGTTTTGAAAATTATAGAGTTTTTTTATAGTCTTGGTTCGGAGAGAACTTTGAAACTAATAGTTTCGGAGGTCAAGGCTTTTGGAAGATTATTTTTTGCCTAATATGATAGTTCATACATAGAGTTTGAAAGATTTGGAACATTAAACCTTACAATTATCCCAATACATTATCCCATTATCAAGCACAATCGAATTGAGACGATTTTTCTGAAAGTTTACCGAATCATTCGCAAGTTTAGTTCAAAAAATGGTTGATTTCGAAAGTAGAAATATCTAATTAGAAAGAGAAAGCTGGACTTTCCGTAGAAAGAAGCTTTGCTTACAAGGGAAAGCTGGCCTTTCCGTAGAAAGAAGCTTTACTTACAAGGGAAAGCTGGCCTTTTGACTTTGACCTTTTGACTTTGGCCTTTTGATTTTGGCCTTTTGGCTTTGGCCTTTTGGCTTTGGCCTTTTGATTTTGGCCTCTTGGCTTTGGCCTTTTGATTTTGGCCCCTTGGCTTTGGCCTTTTGACTCTGACCTTTTAATCAAGTCCATCTTATAGAAATAAATCTGATAGATTTAGATAAACTTTAGATAGTTTTAGATAGATAAACGAAATCTTTAAATAAACGAAATCTTTAGTTAAACTAAATCTTTAAATAAACTTTAGATTTAGATAAACTAAAAACGAATTCGAAATCTTCATAGCCGATTCTATAAGATGGACTTGACTCAGTGCCTTTCCCTTGTTAGATATTCGATTATTTCTACAGTGATTTCTTACTAACTGTAGCTATTATTTCTGCACACGCCAATTCAATTTTCAGAGGAAAACCTCTTATTTTTAACTTTGAAACTGGACAATTAGCTTGCCAAGAGCAGATTTTGGCAGCTTATCATTGATCTTTTTTAACTGCGATTTCAATCACAGCCTTATAACTTTTGCTTACAACGATTATATCTGCTACATCCGATCTAGACTGATTCTAGATCTCTAAATCTAAATCTAAATCTAAGTCTAGATCGGATCTGCTTCTGCTGTCTGATTTAGAGTGATCGGCTTGATTCTAGATCGACCATTTGGACCTCAACTCACTCTAGATCGGACGTAACATATCTATTAATTTCTCTTTATTAATGTTATAATGAAATTATAATATTAATAATTAATTAAAGCCTCTGGTCTCGTGGTAGCCACTCTGTGATCCGTATCATCCATCTGTCGTCTGTTCTCCTGGCTCGTCTGTTCTCCTGGCTCGTCTGTTCTCCTGGCTCGTCTGTTCTCCTGGCTCGTCTGTTCTCCTGGCTCGTCTGTTCTTCTGGCTCATCTGTTCTTCTGGCTCGTCTATTAATTAAAGTTACACTGGTGGCCATATGTATTAGTACCCTCTTGCAAAAAATCTTCTCTCAACGATTGCCCCTCTTAAAAGGCAGCCAAATTCAAAGTGCTAAAAAGCATTTTTTGCTAACAAGCTCTAGTCTCTAAAACCACAAAAAAATTGATTCGAAATGTTTATTATCTTTTTAAAAAATAGCAAGGACGGAAAAGACACCTCAAAAATGGTGGACAAAAGTATTGACACCTTGCAAAAACAACAGTAAATTTAATAGTCTATTGGCCCTCCTTTGGCTTGAATGACTTTTTCTATCCGTCTGGGCATCGAGTCGACCAAATTGTGCAAAACTGATGATCCAATTTGATTCCATACAAGACGTAGATAGAGCCAAAGCTCACCTTGGGCGAAAAGTGCTTCTCCGTCAATTTCGCTTTCACAATCGACCATAGATTCTCGATAACGTTCAAATCTGGTGAAAAGGGAGGTGCTTTAATCAAAGAACACCATTAATCGCAATCCAGCCCGGAAATCGTACCCGTCCTCCATTCGAGAGTCTTCCGACAGGTCCCATCATAAGTTTGCTTGTGTGAACTGGGGAGTTGTCCTGGTAGTACAACCATCCTTGAGGCGATGTTTTGCTCGCAAATGGAAGTAAACGTTGCTCAAGTATTCCCATGTATCACTGAGACTTCATGGTTGAATTGATCATCTCAAGTGGACCGACCACATTTCTTGTCATCGCTCCTGCAAGTTGACAGTTATACGAAGAAAACTATAGAAATTCATACCCCAGCACATAATATTTCCACCCCCAAATCGAACCGTGGGTTTGATGTACTTGAGTAATAGCCGCTTTCCAATCGGTCGCCTGATCAATGGAGGTCCATCCGACTGATAGAGATTAACTTTTGTCTCATCAGAGAAAATTACTCGGTTCCAATCGTCACTCGTCTAACTTTGGTACCTCCGAGCAAAGGCTAAACGAAGTTTCCTAATCCGAGGAGTCATACGTGGCTTCTTTATTGGTCGTCTAGCGTACAACTTTGCTTTGATGAGTCGCCTCCTCACGGTCCTTGCTGAGATATCTGTGCTGAATTGTGATTTATACAGGCGGCTTTTGTCGGTCGAGGTGAGACTTGGGTCCTTTTTGAATTCCCCTATGATCGATCGATTCTCGGCAGTTGTTTTTGATGGATGTCGACCAGATTTTGCAGCTCTGTGTAGAGAACCGATAATCTTTGATTGTTTAAAAAGTCGTTTCACCGTGCTCTCACTGCATCCAAATTGTTCAGCCAAATCTGCTGTTTTCATTCCATTTCTTCGACCTTCAACGATCTTTTCTTTGATTGGAGTCAGTAGATACGGCATCTAAAATTAAATATTTTAAAAAGTCATCAAAACATGAATGCAAACAAGAAAAAAATAAAGGAAAAGCTAAGGTGTCAATACTTTTGTCCACCATTTTTGAGGTGTCTTTTCCGTCCTTGCTATTTTTTAAAAAGATAATAAACATTTCGAATCAATTTTTTTGTGGTTTTAGAGACTAGAGCTTGTTAGCAAAAAATGCTTTTTAGCACTTTGAATTTGGCTGCCTTTTAAGAGGGGCAATCGTTGAGAGAAGATTTTTTGCAAGAGGGTACTAATACATATGGCCACCAGTGTAACTTTAATTAATAGACGAGCCAGAAGAACAGACGAGCCAGAAGAACAGACGAGCCAGAAGAACAGACGAGCCAGGAGAACAGACGAGCCAGGAGAACAGACGAGCCAGGAGAACAGACGAGCCAGGAGAACAGACGAGCCAGGAGAACAGATGAGCCAGGAGAACAGATGAGCCAGGAGAACAGATGAGCCAGGAGAACAGACGAGCCAGGAGAACAGACGAGCCAGGAGAACAGACGAGCCAGGAGAACAGACGCCAGATGGATGATACGGATCACAGAGTGGCTACCACGAGACCAGAGGCAATCGTTGAGAGGGGCAATCGTTGAGAGAAGATTTTTTTGCAAGAGGGTACTAATATACATATGGCCACCAGTGTAACTTTTATATCTTTTATTAATGTTAACTTTATGTCTTTACACTGAGCAAAAAATTTAATTGCATTTGCAAATTGTAATTTGCGTTTTTTTTTTCTTCCCACAGACAAGAAGCCCAGCCGCTTATGGGCTTATTTTGGTCTAAACAGTCCTAAAGCTGATTTTCACGGGGAAAAGAAAGAAAACAAAAGAAAATGCGTGTAGATTGGGACACATTTCCTCGCCATTCTTTCGCCAACAAAGTTCCCTCTAGAAAAGCAAATTTATTTCAGATTTTCTGTAATATTTGTCTCATGTTGAAACGGTTCTTTATGTAAGTTAAATCTTTCTTTCAAGCTTTTCTATTTCGTTCAAATGACACTTATAAACAAAAATTTTCTTTTATAAAAGAACTTTGACGTTTTAAACAATCAAATCAAATAAAAAAAACAAACAAATTTATACTAACAATAAGTTTTATTTCTAAATTTTCAATGATTTATTATTGTTTACCGTTTGAGGAACGAAATAGGCTTTTTAAAATTGGACTGTAAAGAATTTAAAGTTTCAAAGTTGAGAGAGTAAAAGAGCTTGAGCTTGAGCTTGAGCAATAAGGCGTTTTGTTTGCAATAAGCAATAAAAAAGCAATAAAAAAGCAATAAACAAAGCAATAAACAAAGCAATAAGCAAAGCAATAACAAAGCAATAAGCAAAGCAATAAGCAATTTGCCGTTCTTGTCAGAATTGAAATTCGGTTCAGAAAAAATGAAAATTATGTTTTTTTAGCTTCCCAGCTTTCTTTGATTGCTTGTTTTCATTCTACTTGGCGCCGTCGGTGGGTTTCAATTTTTCTATTTCAATCTACACAATCTACGAGCTCTAGCCAAACTAGTATCACGATTTTTCTGATCTGTCTTCGCACTTAGGTGTTCCTATTTGCACAGATCACAACCTGCTTCCACATTTATCTATCCCTTGCTATTGTCATCCAGACCCGAGGTTGGATCGCCTCTGGGCCTTTGCTTGATCCCTCGATGCCGAAAGAGAGCAGGGAGGCCGTGCGGGGTACTGAGGCAGAAGTGTAGTTGTCGTAGCCGATGATACTCCGATGGCCGGGCTGGGGCGCTCGGAACCCAAAAAAGTCGAGCTCACCACGCCGACGTATCCCGCGCCGACGTATCCCGCGCTGACGTTGCTTAACTTGGCAAATTGGATGGGATAGACAGCAAGCCTTCCTCTTCTAGGCCCCCAGTATAACGATTGATGTCTTCAATTCGATTACTCAATTTTTCATAATGTAGTTTTCTAAAATTAAATGCTTTTTAGAAAATTTAAACTGTTACAAGTGACTTTTTGAGCTTTTTAGTATTAGAAGTTTAGCATTGTTGCTGATAAATTTGAGTGTGTTTTCAGAAGTGATATTTTTATTTAGAAAGATTACTTCTTTATCTAAATGACAATCTTTAGTGAGTTAAATGAAGAAATACGTTGATAGAAAGGGCAATTGAATTGCTTTGCTAGTCTTTCGAGCTTAGCTAGGATTTCTCGACTTTCAGTCTAAGGCAAATCTTCGAGATTACTCAAAGTAATCCCAAAAACTAGATGGGCAACCGTTTTTCATGTTGATCTGTCTAGTCAAATTTTCTCTACTTTCTGAATTGATCTTCAAACATTTGCAAAGAATTTCCCCTAGAATTTCACAACTTTCAAACCCAATCAGCAACAATTTTTCGGTGGAATCTAATCTAGATGATCTAGATCTAATCTAATCGTCTTTTCCTTGTTCTCTGTTTTTACGTCGATTGGCACTTTCCCCATTAGAAATCTATAGAAATCACTTTTTCATTGTTGTATTGAATGTAGTTTCTCCTGTATTTTATAGGGTAAACTACTAGTTTTTTTGAAAGTAATTTATCCTGTAGTTTATCCTGTAGTTTCAACTAAACTTACAGCGAAGAGAAACCTAAAAGGAAACACTGAATATTTTCGTATTTCCTCTAATAGTAGTGCACCCGCCGAGCCGAGTTGGTGACTATTTTACGGCTTTCAAACTTTTGCAGAAGCTCAACACTCTAATCCCCCATTAGATCTCATCGTCAGCTACATTTTCCGATCCCACATCGATCGGTTCTGATAAACGGTTCTCGAGATTTCGAGGAATTTAGGCAACGCTCAGGAAAAACTATTAGAGGCTATTATTAGAGAAAATACGATATGTGTTTTTGTAGAAACAGATTTCTGATAGTATCGTGTAATAATCTCGAATCTAATCACAGTCTATCGATGAAATTCCTTCAATTTCAGAACTACTACCCGGGTCGATACTTTTCATCGGCTCCATCCTCTTCATTTCCCATCTCTCTCCCATCTCCATTCTATCACTCATTCTCTCCATCATTACCCAGAAACTACTACTCACCCAACACGATAATCAGCCAAGCCGACTATCTAAAACTTTATAATCCCCAATTTCTATATGATTCTTATGATCGCGGGTATTTGTTTCAAACGATTTCTCAGCCATTGGTTGGTCGATCCTTCAAACAATACCAAGTTTTCGATTACACTACCCCGCAAAGTGTCGAGATTTTCCCGAAATTCATCAGTGAGATGAAAATGGCTTCAACAACGAAAATAAATGAAATTTCAACAACCACTGAATCACAAAAGCCAACAAAATCTACGGGAAAACCCGGGAAACTCAAAGCGAATCTCGAAACAACGAAAAAGATAACGGTCAGCTTTGAGAATAATCATTTAAAATTTAAAATAATCAATTTAACTTGAAGTTTAATTTAAATTTAAGTTTAATTTAAATTTAAATCTAAAAATATATAAGTTAATAGTATTTAAAGGTTTAAATCTATAATTTAAAAGTATTTAAATGTTTAAATATTAGGTTGATGCATAAGTCTTTTCGTTTTTTTCGTACTTCTGTTAAAAAGTAACAAATTCACCAATTAATCTATAGTTTTGCTCTATAAAAAAAGTGTTTTTTTTGTTCAATTTGCATCTTTTTAAATGAATTTCGGTTCACTTTCAAGCAAATTCGAGAGTGAAAAACGCCTTTTTCGTAAAAATCTATAAAAAACTCTACGGAAAAATTGGCTGAATGAATTTCTCTGAAATTTTGGCGAAATATCAAACGTTTTTTTTCTCTATCTTTTATCTATTGACACGAAGATAGGTTTTCTTTAGCTAAGGTGTCTAAACCGCATCATCGAGTTAGCCCTTTTTGACTACCCGACTTCATACTCTCAAGAAAATCCAGGCATTAAATATTTTTAAACCCGTTTTAATGTTATTTTGCAGAAAAATAATTGGCTTTTCTAATGAAATCAACCGTAGTTTAATTGGTGCATTTGTTGGCTTGAAACGGCAGACGAAAAGGAACAAAAACACTTATGCATCAACCTATTATATAATTTAAAAGTATTTAAATGAAAAATCTATAATTTAATAGTATTTAAATGTTTAAATCTATAGTTTAATAGAAAATTTCAATTTTTTATTATAAATAAAATCAAAATCAAAATTTTAAGACAAGGATTCAGCGATAAGGCAAAAGAATTCAGTAAAATATCAGAATATTCCTTCTAAAATGTCTATTATTACAAAAAGCTAATATTTTTCATTAAAAAAGAGAACTATTTTAAGTCTAAAAGTCTAAATTTAACTAAAATACAGAAATTTTATTATCTTTTTTTTCTAGAAGCAACCTCGAGTGAAAACGACAACGAAAAAACCATTGTTGCCAAGTTTGTTTCAAAAAAAAGAGAAAACTTTGCCTTTAACATTGAAAAAAAACCAATTTTACTTGTTTAAAAGAAATCAAATTTAGAAATTTGTCAATCAAAAGTTACTTTGTTTAATCAATTTTAGGAATAGTCCCGAAATTCCCGTTGATCATCCCGACACAAAACATTTTACGCGTCTCTTCGAATCGACCGATTTGTATTCATTGCGGGAAATAATGAAGAAATTCTTTTTTTTATAATAATTTGTTTTGAATGCTCTGAAATTGAGCAGAAAATTTGATTTGATTTGATTCGATTTTAAAAAAAAAGCTTGATTTTGAATAAAGTGAGGTTTCTTTGATCAGAAAAAGCTTTTTTTGGAAGAATTTTTTAATTACCGTATTTACTCTATTAGTGGGGTCCTCTCTAATAGTGGGGTCCTCTCTAATAGTGGAGTCGTCTGGAGGGGGGTTGAAAAAATAGTGGGGTCCTCTCGAATTGGAAGAAGATATTGGTAACGAAAGTGATACATCAATTGTTGATCTCTTGGATTAGTTCTTTTACTGTTTGTTAATGTTTTGTTACGGTTAAAGCTAAATAAAATATGAAGCCAAACTTGTTTTGTCAAGAATTTCGGAGAAAAATTGATATCTTTTCAATTTAAAACTTTGGTTTTATGTTCTTTTAAATTTCTCTAATAGTGGGGTCCTCTCTAATAGTGGGGTCGTCTGGAAGGGGATTGAAAAATAGTGGGGGACCCCACTAATAGAGTAAATACGGTATTGATAATTTTATTGATTGATTGATTGGATCGGCTAGTCGCTAACAAATCATTCGTTAGAGCCGCTAACGAATCATTCGTTAGAGCCCTATCAAATCATTTGTTAGAGCCGCTAACAAATCATTCGTTAGCGGCTGAATTTCGTAAACGGCTACGACATATATATGCTTTATTCAGGGGGCGAATAGAAGCGAATCAGATAAGCATAACTACCGTCTATTAGTTCTCAAAACAATCAAGCTATATGAATTTAGTTGAAACTTGATTTTTTTTATGTAAAGTTTGGCTTTCAACTAATGTACATTGATGCAAATTGTACAAATTCCGGGGGCGAATAGAAGCAAATCAGATAATCATAACCGCATCTAACATATTGCTACAATACTCTCACAAAAAAGGAAGAGAACTAAAAATAGTACAGTAAGACTACGGTTAGGAAACACATGTACAAAAAGATTAAATATAGGGCAGATTTGACATGGCAATAAGATCTAATTCATTTACAGATACAGATACTTTCAATTTTCCTAAAGACGAGAAGATAGCAGACGGAAACTTACTCCAAACCCTACTAAAGAATGATAAAGGATAAAGGTTCGGAAAAGAATGATAAAGGGAAAGATGATGGGGATGAGAGCCGACCGAAATTTGATAACGATGACTACGTGTACTTCTAGAAATTTCCACAATTTTCAAGAGGCTTTGAAATTCTGGATGCGACTTAGGGTGGAAAAGAATTTTATAGCAAAAAATAAGATCAAAGTAAATACGGCGATATAAAAGGGGTTTTAAATTAAAAACTATAAGTCTAGTCTCATAATTTTGCCAACTGATATGATTTAATTTGAAACTTGAAACTCCCTATGATACAATTTTGCCATTTCTAAAAGTTTTCTTTCTTAGAACTTGTTAAAAGCTTTTTCTAGACAAATTTATTAGTTATTGATAATTTTGACAACTAGACATCATTTGCTTTGAAACTTGCGATTTCTTTTAATATAATTTGACAATTTTTGAGTATTTCCACGATTTTTACTTTTAAAAACACTAAATCACAATTGTTTACTCAAAAAATTTTCCCTTTTGAACTCTTTGCTGGAAGAATGTTTTAGAGTGAAACAAATAATTCAGAAATCGGAGCTAATGTTTCAAAATATTGCTATTTGCGGCTTTCATCTATAAAAATGAGAACTTTTTAATGAAAAGACTAAAGAATTTCCAATTTTCATTCAATTTACACCAATCTAACTCAAATTTTGATTTTTTGAATGTTTTGTAGCTGATAAATGACCGTTTTGCCAACTAGCCTTAATTTATATTGAAACTTGCAATTTCTTCTGGTACAATTTTATGATTTTCGAGTATTTCTATCAGATTTACTTTTAAAAATCACTCTAAACGATTGAAATTTCAAATATTTTCTGTTTTTCTTCAAATTTATAAGCAACTGATCAGCGTTAAGCTGAGTTACCAGTTGCTTATCACTTTTCAAAGTGAAACAGACAAATTTCTAATTTAATAGTGTGAATTGCAAAATGCTTTGCTTCTGCTGAAACTAGGCAAAATTTTCCGTTAGTCATTCAAAAAACTAAACATATTTGTTTGATCTTGAGTTCAAATGAGAACAAAGATTGAAAGGACTGCAAAACCGGCACCGTGATGTGGCTTTAAATCTTAGGTGAAATCAGCGAAACGTGGCGGAGTACTTTTGATGAGGTGATGAAATCGTTTGGTGGATGGCCGAGTCTCGAAAATGGAAACAGTTCGGTTTTTAAAGCAAATAAAGCTTACGGTAACTGTAAATTACATTAATCCAGCAGCGCTAAAGCTTGCCCCAGTTACTGTAGCCTTTGGATTTGGTTCCTTTGCTCCAAAGATTTGGTTCCTTTTCTCGACAGATTTGATTCCTTTTTCTCTACAAATTTGATTCCTTTGTCGTTAGTCATTCAAAAGCTAAACACATTTGTTTGATCTTGAGTTCAAATGAGAACAAAGATTGAAAGGACTGCAAAACCGGCAGTGTGTTATCACAGTGCCGGTTCTGCATCAATGGAAAGAAAAACAAGTCCGATTGGTGGGTCAAACAAAAGCTTTGCTGAAGAATTGAAAGAAAACAGGAGTTGAGAAAAAAAACACTGAAAGGATGAGAAGCAGGAAACGTGTTTGCTGACAGAGATCTTTAGATCTTTGAAGTTCAACCTTTAAACCAATCAACCAGTCCAACCACATCCGGTGCATTAAAACGATTTTCAACGGTTATTAAACGTAAATTTGTTCAAGCTTTTCAGGCTAAACAATTTAAAGCCAAATCTTTAGTAAAATAAAGTGAATAATAATGTAAATGAGTTTTTCAATAGTCAATGTTTCAAAGTTGAGGTAATCAGATGCAAATGTTGACTCTGGATCATTTTCAAAGCCGTTTGCTAATCAAAAGATCAAAATTCTACAAGTTTCACTTTTCAAATTGATCCAAAAACACAAGCAGATAAACCAAGAACAGAAATAAAATTCATTTTTTCGCAATTTTTCCTAAAAATTGAACTAGCTAGAGCTAGCTTCTGCTGAAAATTTTATTGTTTCAAAGTCAGCACAATAAAATCCGATTTTTTGAGAGAGTAATGAGTAAAAAAATGAGTAAAAACAATTTTAAAAGCTTTTAACTGAAACTAAAAGGAAATTTGACATTTTGACAAAGAAATGAAAGAGGAATTGCACTACTTGTGCGCCAAATTTTTGCGCAACTGGGTCATTTACTTAACTCGTAATAACTTTCTTCTAAATGAGCTAGTCTTTATGATTTTGATGTCATTTTTTTGGACTTGTTGAGATCTACAAAATGACATCAAAATCATAAAGATTAGCTTATTTAGAAGAAAGTTATCTCCAGCATTTTCTCACATATGATTTTAATGTCATTTTGTAGATCTCAACAAGTGAAACAAAATGAAACATAACAGCTACAAAACTTAATGAAGGAAACACTGTATGTGAGAAAATGTTGGAGATAACTTTTCTCTAAATAATCGATTCTTTATGATTTTGATGCCATTTTGTAGATCTCAATAAGTCCAACAAAATGACATCAAAATCATAAAGATTAGCTCATTTAGAAGAAAGTTATTGCTAGTTAAGTAAGTACCCAGTTGCGCAAAGAATTTGGCGCACAAGTAAGCAGTCATTTCTCGAATTCGATTTTTTTCAAATTCACTGGAAAACTGGATTAGCTAATAATGTGATCATTATAAAATTTAATGGTTTCAAAGTTCAAAGATCAAACCATACGCATTCTAGAAAATTTTTAAGTAGAATACTTTTTAAGCTCTCTAACTTGGTCACAGATTTAGTTGAATGCTTTAAATTCGTTATATGCAAATATTCTAGTCCTCTTTTTTATAATTTTTTAAACTTCTAGTGGCCGATTCAAGGAGTGGTTCGTTTCTCTTGAAAATTCCTGTTACCTCAAATAACTTTGCGTTTAATTCTTTCCCAATAATGGTTATGGAATTTACTACCGAACAACAGTCTTGAGTCCTTAAAAATCAATAGATAAAAATCAAAAGAATCAATAGATAACCTAGATCTCTCCTCTTTTGTGGGTAATTGATTGAATTTCATTTATTCTGTAATCTTGCAATCTTTGTTTCCCATTAATTTCTATATTTCTCTAGAGAATTCCTTCTCTTGAGAAACATAGAAAGTCATTTCTCTTTAGAATTCCTTAATCCTTATTGAAAAAACTTTCCCAATTTATTTCATGTCTTCAATAAAGTATCTAAATAACGTTTTTAATGTTCACTTCTAAAATTCCTCTTCTGAAGCTGAAAACCAACATTCCAGAATGAAATAAATCCCTAGCTACACACAAAAAATCGCAAATTCTTTATGCCATCTTACTCAAAGGTTGAATGGAGAAGGGGAAAGGCGTGAACAAACGTGTGACAACACAAATAAACGAATAACACAGACAACAAACAAAGCCACGCTATTTGCGCTTTCGCCAGGATTTCGACTTTCCCCCGGATCGTAAAAGAATTCAGGAAAAGTCTCTTTCTATTCTAACGCGTCTCTTTCTATGACCGGCTCCCAACTTTTTTCTCATCTTTTGGACACACGTAAAAATTATGAGAGAACAGGTAGATTTGGAGTGAGAGAAACAAACGGTAGACACATTTTTTGCCTATCCGGTCCCCTTTTTCTCTAGATGAGCACTTCCCACTTGACATCATGACGAGATTGAGGTTGAGGGCCAAAAATCGGCACCCTCTTGTTCTGAAAAAGAATTTGAATCAACTTGGCCATGTACTTTGTGCGTGAAAATCGGAAACACAGGACTTCTGGTGCAGTGGAATCTTCGTTATCTTCAGTTAGTGCTACTATGAAAAATGGCTTTTCATTTCTTATAGTAATAAACTGCTAGTTGCGTCAGAAAGGATGCGTTTTATTGGAAAAACGTTTGTAAAGTTTCAAAATTGATCAATTAAATCCGTATGCGCTCTGAATAATCGAAATGAGTTAGGAAAAGGCAAATCTCTTACTCCCATTGAATATTTTGCAAAAAAGTTCTGTCTTACACCTGAATCTATGCACATCGAGCCAATGAGACTTGCACTTTCAACTTTTCTTGTATAGAGATTCGTTAGCATCCGTTCTTGTGTAGAGATTTCAAGGTGTGGCCCGCTTCAACATTATCATGTTTCTGAATATCATTGAAAATGTTTCTGTTTCAGAATAGCTGAATAGTACAAAAGGTAAAGGCAAAAGGTTAAACGAGTTTCCCCAAAACGCTCACAACATAACAATAACACGCAAAAAAGGTTAAAGCTCGTGATACGAGTACACAACGGATTGACGCTTCGTTGATGGCAACACAAATATTAGCAAATTCTTTCTATAATCTAAACCCTATCTAGCTAGCTAAATCATCTATCTAAACCAGTTATCTAAACAGAAAGAACCTTAAGGGTAGTTTAAAGTACGATTTATTAGTACAGATTATTAGAACAGATTATTAGTACAGATAATAAGTACAGATTATTCGTACAGAAAGAAAAGGCAACGATATCCAAAAATGGCGTGCGCGTCAAGAGAAACATCAAATTTTGAAAGAACGGGAACAAAACTGCAAACTAAAAAGAATAAAAAGTTTGAAAAACACACACACACAAGTTCTGCTAAAAAACAAAAAAAAGAAATTTGGGGAAACGAAAAAGCGACGGACGGACGGACGGACAGACGACGAACGCGACGAAAAAGCGACGCAACTTAATTGCAAATAGGAATGTACCTTTTGGAAGGAAACGACCGCTTTCTTAAAAACATCTATTTCCAAAAACTATCGTAATCCAGCCAGTTTTCATCCAATCAACCAATTTGGTTTCATTTAATGAGGAATCAAAAGAGATTATAGGAACGCACTTCTATCTCTCTTCTGTATTTCAAGCATTTCTTCGAAATTTCATCCCTAAACTTTCAGTAAGCCTTTTCACTAAGTCCCCAGAAACAAATCAGTAGAAGAGATGACCCCAGAAGCGGACCAGTTCCCGACAAGCCCGCCTCTTCCACCTTCTCCATTGTTCCATGCCACTTCTCTTTTCTTTTCCTATTTGTTTGTTCGTTTGATTCCCCGACAAAGCGTGACCCCTGATCCATCTAGTTATTCGCCAGAGAGAGACGGAACGATGCCCACTTCGCGCATTTTTTCACTTTTTCTGGCATTCTTTGAGTGGACTCAGTCACCGATCTGATCCACCCCCGGTTCACATTTCACTCGGTATATAGCCCGGGCACCTGGGGGTTAGCCGAGAGTTTTTTTGAAACTTTCATTTTCTCTATTCAGCCATGCTGCCGCTAAATTGGAGACAAATTGCCTGGCTGTTCGGGTGAGCGTTTTTATTTTATAGTGTTTCTAAGTACGGTATTCGTTTTTACCTACAGGAATCGTTTTTACCTTTGGTATAAAAGCCAACGAACTAATACAATTGTTTGCGTATTTCTGTTTTATCATAGAGCTACAGTATTGCATTTTTTTTATAACCATAGTTTGGAATTTAGCCTAAAGACTGTTATTTAGATAAATAGGTTTCAAAAATCTTCCTTATGAGTGTAGATTGTTGAATTTAGTCTTTGTTATGGTTAAGAATTTAATGAATTTTATTTTAAACTATTAAAGTTAAGAATTGAATATTTTCCACTCTGGCAGACTTTAGTGAAACTAGCTCCGGGATTTGCAAATGGATTTGCAGCAATTACCACAATTACAGTGCAGTAATTGCTACAATTACAATGCAGTAATTACTGTTACAATCATGCAATGAATGCTTTAAAATTCGTTTGTAAAAATAAAGTTAACTATTGTTTGCGCTCATTCCCCCATTTTCTTTTGAATCATTTACATTTACATTTCATTTACAAATCATTTTCAGAATTTCCCTTTTATCGACGGTTCGTGGAGGGATTCCCGGCGGGATCCCGGGAAGATATTTTGTCGAAGCAGGAAGGCCAATTATCGCCGCTGGATCGGCTCCGGTGCCCGTTGTGGCACCTGTTATTGAACCAGTAGCTGGTCTGTTTCTTTCTTAATTGTAATATTATTTGCAAAATGCTTATAGCTGGGAAAAACCTACCGTACTCTGGCTGGCTTTTTGAGAATTTAAGCCAATGAGACTTGTCCTTTATCCGAGCCTTTACCCATGGTTATCGGACTTACGCGTTCGGCCCCTTTTCCCATCGGCAATCTAACTTTAAGCTCAAATTTCTTGGTGCTGGGTTGTCCAATTTATAAATTATTGGCATCATTAGATGCGTCAAGTTTTCCTCTGTTGATTGGTACAAAAACTATTTAAATTGGACAGCCCAACACCAAGAAATTTGAGTTCAAAGTTTGCCAATGGCTTTTTGCCAATCAAATGCCCCACGAGCTTTACACATAGCGTCAGTATGACGTAAGGTTACGGTAGTTTTTCCCAAACGTTTAGAAAATGCAATGAAGCTCGAAAATGACTAATTTTTGAAAAAAGTAATGTTACGATTGAATCCTTCAATTAACCAGTCGAAATTTTGAAAGTTTGGAAATTTCTTTTACTACTGCAAGCGATTTTTAAATCTTATTGATAAGTTATAATCAACAAATAAATCATATCAATAGTTTAAATCCAAAGATATATTTAATTTAAATTGATTCTGAAATCAATCTGTGATCCCAAAAGCCATAAGTTTAGTTGCCCCACCACCGCCCATCGGCCCTCCACTAGCGCCACCGCTTCCCCATGAGGTTTGTACAAAACAGGGAGTACAAAACAGGAAGTGTAAACCATCATTTATCAATCTTTGTTATTTAACCAATAGACATTACTCTAGTAGGTTTTTAAAGAACAGAAAAACTGGCTAATCGCATGTGAAAAAAACAAAGTTTCAAAATTTTTCATTTGAGTTGTGCCCATTGTTGGCTAGTTCTTTGTCAGAAAACAGAAAATGAAAAAGAAACGTGGTCCTATCATTTTGCAACGTAATTTCTTAGCTTTTTAACCATTTGTTTCAAATTGTAGGGTTCTACGGCAAATAAAAACAATCAAATGTATAAATGAAGCTTACTCAATCAGTTGTTTCAATGTTTCAATGTTTCAATAGTCGGTTTGGTTACTTCTTTCAAAAAAACAAGATTATTTAGGTTAATTCGAAGGTAATTGAGTGGTATAGTGACATACTTTTATTGCCTACCCATGAAATTTTAAAAACTCGAGTTTTAGAACTTTCAGATGCCTCCACCAGCTCACCTCTTCGCTCCACCACCTCCTCAAGTCGCTCTACAACCAGCCTTGCCCCCGCCAGCACCAATGATGGCCCCATTAGCTCCTATGCCAGCAATTCCCCCACTAGCATCCCCAATGGCTCCACCAGCTCCAATGGCTTTTCCAATAGCTCCAGCAGCTTTGGCTCCAGCTCCAATTCCCATGCATGGACCAGTTATGGCCGCTCCTCCACTTCCTATGGCTCCACCTCCAGCTTTCGCTCCACCGCTGCCTCCACCAATTCAAGGCTTTCCGGTAATGCTTTAGATCTGTAACAACCATAGTTTACAGCTATTTAGCTGCATTTTTTTGCCATAATGTTGGTCAGAGACTTGCGATTTTAGAGAACTTGTTTAGAAAAGAAAAGAATGGTTTTTTAAAGCAAACCTTTTAGGCTCCTCCTCCCTACGGTGAGTACCTCCTGCCAGCTCAAGATGGTCTTCTTCCGCCCCCGCCGGAGCTCTTCCTGCCCGGTCCCTCCCCTGTTGGACCACCACCATCAGCTGGCTATCCACCAATGGCCTATCCAGCTGTTCCCCTGCCCGGTCCCGTCGCCGCACCGCTACCGTACCCTGGCCCAGCATTACCGTACCCTGGCCCAGCACTACCGTACCCTCCACCAGCTGTCGTAGAACCCGTTGGCCCAGCTCTACCCTACCCCGCTCCACCTCCAGCACCTGTCGAAGTAGTGCCTCCTTTCCCTGAATACCTCGAAAATCCATACCCAATCCCAACACCAATTGGACCAAGCCGAGCCGGACTCCCACATTTCCCATCATTTGCCGAGTTTTTGTCCCCCCATTTTTCTGAGGCTCCCTACTTGACCCCGTACTCGGCGAAATTCAGATCAAGAGCCCCAAGTGATGTCTTGAGAAAGGAGAAATTTGTTCCCAATTATGCCCCCTTTTCTAGACAAGCGCCTTTTATTGGAACGATGCGACGAAATGTGAAAAAGAATAATTAGAAACGATTATAGACTTTTCACAACACCTTTTTATCTTGGGTTATTTAGATTTTTAACTTATAAACATCATTTTTGTGATTACTGGTGAATACGAACTCGGAGATTCATTTTTTTGACGCAATTTTTGAGATTTCAAATTGATTTCAAGATAATTTATTAATATTTTTGAGAATAAATTATTTTAATCGACTTCGGGAATTGTTTAAAAATGCAATGTTTCAAGTTTTTTATTATGACAGAGCTTTGGAGCGTTTTAATTATTTTTGTCTGACTGCTTGGCTTTAATGACAAGACTTTAAACTTTGCTGTTTCAAGTCTTTTCACTGTGAGCCAAAATTTTTTAAACTATTCTATCCTGGATTCAAAATCTGGATTTAAAATTGTTACCTCTTGAATCGTTGTAACGCATTACGCTCAAAAATAACGGCTAGAGCAATAGCAAAAGCAGTGAAATTTTAAAAGTTTCAATTTTTACGGCTTTGAATCGCTAGAAAGCGTTTTTGATCTTATAAAAGAATCCAAAATAACTTTTAAATAAACCTTATGTGAAAGATCAAACGAAATTCTCGGGGCATCATCAACTTTCATTCGGATTTAGCTTTGTTCTCAGCAAAAACTTCTTAAAGTTCCAACTTCTTCAGTTTTGAGTAAGAAGATTTATAAAAGTTTCAACTTTATCACGACGAGATCAAGTCGTGTATTTCTAGTATATTGAAAGCTAACATTTTGCTTCAAATACCGTATTTTCTCTAATAGTAGTGCACCCCAGCGAGCCGATTTGAAGACTATTTTACGGTTTCCAATTTTTCCCAGAAGCTCAACACTCGAATCCCCCACTAGATCTCATCGTCAGCTACATTTTCCGACCCCACATCGATAGGTTCTGATAAGCGGTTCTCGAGATTTCGAGGAATTTAGGCGACGGTTACGGTGCACTACTATTAGAGAAAATACGGTGTCAAATGTGAAAACAACTACCGTACTCCGATCGTTTAATCAAATCGATTGAGCTTTCACTTTGCCAACATTCACTCACTCCAGTACCATCAATAAATCAGTTAATTTTTGGTGTAAACCAACTGGATTACAGTAGTTTTTCCTCTAGAGCACTCTAGATAAATAAAACTTTTAGATAAAAGAAACCTTTAATTTAAAAAATGGCTAAACGCTAAACCACTATTATTACAAGAAATGCACGAGGACTGACCCCGTTCAATTTGAAACTTCAACTCAAAAAAAACGAAACCGCAGCTTGTTCATCTTAACTTTATGGCAAATTTTCTGTTCTTAAATCTAATTTAACTCGAAACTCTTTCCTATGAGCCTATGAGTTTTTTGATGAAATCATTTAAAATCTGGGTTTTTTTTGAGTGTTCGTTTTTGTTCACAAATCTATAAAACTTCCCACCCACACGGTCAAGAGTTAGCCAGGTCATTGTTGACTTTTTGATCCAGACAACACAAAAATTTGAAAAGAATTGAACTTGTGCTGAAAATAAAACGTTTCGGGATACGGGAAAGCTTTAGAAGACGAAATGGAATACTTGGGAATAAAACTTTACAATTGAAAAGCCAACAACTGATTAATCTTATATAAGTCGTCTGAAGGTTGAGAATTTTGTGACATTCAAATTTTCAACATGCTGGCGAAACTCCGTTTCTTTTTTTTCTTCTTTTTCGTCGACGGTGTTTTGGGTTGTCTGCCAGGTTCGTTTAGTAAGAACAATATCACGATTTGATTTCAAGTTTGATTTTATCATTAGTTAACTTATGATTTCCAAAGAAACACTTGAACTTATCCAGTTGATCATTTCCAATTGTCCATTTTCAATTGTCTACTTATCTAACCGTCCATGTCTATTTCCATGAACTTATCCATTTCAGACGCTGGAAAAGTCTACACAAGCCCATCTTTCTCCTTTGATGTACAGCCTCCACTTCGATGGTCCTTTGGTGATGCTGCAGGTATATATTTTGTATCTATCACCTACAGTAGATTCTGTTATGAACAATTGACTCCGTAATCATTATCATTTTGAAAACAATATCCAAAACCATCTACTTATTGTTTTAAATTCTTTTTAATTGCAAACTAGTATAGTGACTCGCAGAAATGAATCCAGGTTAGGTTAAAACAAAATAAAAAAGTATCAATTGGGATAAACTGAAAAAAAACGCGCCCGGTTAGTTACAGGACCCGCTTTTCCTGGTCAACCAAGATCCAAGGAGGATGCTCAAGCGAATTTCAAAGATGATCTGGAGTTGGCGGTGAGTTTGGCTTTTTCGGCAAATGTTATTAGGTTGGCAAGAAAGTTCTTTCCGTTTTTGACTTAGATTATTTTATTTAGATAACAATGAAGAATTTAGCCATTAAACTAAAAAGTTTTTTTATTAATGCCTATAATTCTTCTCAACTTTTGGCTAGCAAGTCAAATCTCATGTTTGTAGAAATCTACAAGAGCTAGAGCCTCGAAGTCTCTTCGGCGACCACTCAAATTCGGTGGTTGCCGACTTCGGAGAATCTTTGCATGACTAGGGAAGGTTGTATATGCTACGTTCGTATCCGAACTAACCCTTGACCGCGCCACTTTGCGTGCCTGTATCTCCCAAATTAGTGGAGGGATTTTGATGATTTTGGTGTAAAGCAAAAAAGAGGATCGCGGTGGGTTCCCTGTGCGCGAGCACAATCGCACTCGATCTGGCATATTATGCTAGCAGATATCGTCTTTTTTCACTCGTTCAATCGGAAGCGTCCATTTTGGGTCATCCGGTAACCAATCCGTTGTCTGCCCCATATGGTCACCGCTTCCCAAAGCTAACCTCGGCTGTAGAATTGGCAAACCCAGTTCCGGCTCATTTTGGCCACAATGGTGGGTTCTCCGCCGGTCGAAATGGGATCCCAAGTGCCTGTAAAAGGGTGCTAAAGGGAGCCGCTGTGAATTTTTGGATTCATCCCAAGGATTTCGGTCCGCAGGGGCAGCAATACATGAATTTCAAGAAACTTGAACCTTTTTGAAAAATCTGACTTTTCATAGGCGCCAGCCCAATTGTATAGATTTAAATAAGCGATAGTTAGGTAGACAAATATCTGGTTTATACGGCGGATGTAAAAGGGTTTTCCACCGAAGCCTCCCTACGTCCTCGCCAAGCTTTCCTTTCTACAATAGGGCCGTATTGGTAAGCAAAAGCTCTATTGTTCTTTGAAAGAAAGTGATGCGTTCCTTGGTTTTTCTCCGTTCGCTTTGCCAATCGCAATCAAATGTCGACCAATTATGTTTTAAGAATTGCTAAGGACTAGTGCTAATCGCTGCATAGTTCTTTTTGAATCTTCTTTGTTTAGTATTTTCAAGAACTTGTTATCAATCACTGACGAGGGTTTTTAGGTTCTCGTCTTTGAGGTTTTTCATATCGTCTCTAAAACGATGAAAACACTTCTAAACTATTTGATTCATAAAAATGCATCACCAAGTTTGCAGCAAAAATTGAACGACTAAGTCAGTTACCCAACAAAAATCTCAACGCGTGTAGCTACGCAATCGATAAATGGTGCTGACTAACTTTTGTGATGAATATTAAAAAACTAAAAAAAAAGAATTTCAAAAACATGTGTACCGTTACCAATGAGTGTTACGATTATAATAACAAAAAATTCTTGGCGCTTGGCTTAAAGCCTGGCCGGAAAAAGTGTTGTAAAAGCTTTTTTTTAAACCTAATAAATGAATAAATTGGTAAAGTTACCCAACAAAAATCTCAATGTAGATCCGCAATCGATAAGTATCGTTGACCATCAGTTGTAAGATTTCTAAGTTTGCTTTGCAAAAAAGTACTCCAAAACACATCTCTACAAATTGCAACAAAAAATCTTACGACTGATGTCAGGCTTTTCGGATTGCTGCCTAGCTAACTGTTGAAATAGCTAGTTGAACTAACTGTTAAGCTAACTAGCTAACTTTAGAACATTTCCAAATTTGCCGGTTTAATAAAAGACATTCCAGGTGATGAGAGCGTTGAATGCCGAGAAAATCCCGCCAGCTTACGCGTCAAGTTTGTCAGCGGGCACAAATCCGGTCGCAAAAGCTATAACCATTGACCCAACGTCGGCTTATGCGTGTACTACATCTGTAGGCTATTTCGAAATTAAACCCTCAAATTTCAAACTGTTTTTACAAAAACATTCAGGCTGCAATGGCATTCTCTCCAAGGATAACAAGACGATCATTGGCATTTGTACAAATCCTCCATCCCCACCAGCTTATTCTGTGCAGGGAACTCTTGGGGTGTTTATCCAGCAAAACTTACATCAATAACGATGAATTTTTAGGTTAAAAGCACAACCGGACTTTCCGAAAGCACATGGAAAACGTTGGCAGCTAATGTGAGATTTTGTTGTAGTTTTGAAACTTGAAAAAATTTAGGTGCAAAAGGAGCTCGCGAAAATGGGCGCGATTTTCGTCAAACCGATCACTGTCAAAATTTAAATACTCGTGTAATAAAGCTAACATTTATGACAATTTATAAAAAGGTTCACAGTGAAAAAAGGCACGTTGAATGTGTATCTATGTGTTTTCTAAAAGATGGAAACTTTCGAAAACTATTGTACTTTTTCTCTCAGATTTTGCCCGTCTATTTAGTTTTTAATCCATTCAATCCACAGTTTGATTTCTCAGTGAATGAGGCCATAATTCAGTAAATTGAACGAAAACTATAGGATACGGTAGTTCTTTAAATTGCTATTGAACTTTTTGTTTAACACATTACAACTGATGTCAGGCTTTTCGGATTGCTGCCTAGCCAACTGTTGAACTAGCTAGTTGAACTAACTGTTAAGCTAACTAGCTAACTAGCGACAAAGCCATTTTTTTTGCTTAACTGGCCATTCGGACGATTCTATGCTAGTTGTAGTTCTGAAAATTTTTAACCAAGGGGTTTTTGCGGTGCGGAGTTCGAATTCGGTTTTAGTTTTCAACTACAGTAACCCTTAATGTCGGAAATGGTAGTTGCACGTACTTTAGCTGGAAAATAGACTAGAACAAGCTGAAAACGTGCACCCGGGGGGTTTTCCGGGGTGGGAAAACCGAATGCAACCGAAATACTTACGCGAAATATCTACGGAAAGCCGAAATACCTACGCAAACACTACATTTTATGTTGCTAAAGGAAAGCTGTGTAATTAAACCGAACGTGATCAAAATGATGAAAAACGTTTTGCGTTTATATGTCGTAGCCAAAAAGGTTTGCCAAACCTTAACGGCTAGTCGAAAAGGTTTCAAAACTTATCAGCTAGCAGAAGAAGTTTCAAACCTTATCGGCTAGCCGAAGAAGTTTCAAAACTTATCGGCTAACCGATATGGTTTAAAATTTAAAACACCTGTCATTGGAGGAGATTACTCTTTTTTGGGATTCCTTTTTGGAGAATCCAATGCACTTGCTGACAAGATTTTCTTCATTTTTTGAATGTGTCCCATTTTCGCGCTCCCTGTGCTCTTTTCTGCTATTCAAATTACGGGCGACGCGTTGGACTATCGTTTTTTATTGTTACAGTTTTTCTAATTTTTATAATTGAATTTCTGAATTTTGGTTTTTTAGGTAAATAATGATGGAGTCGAAATATGGATTTTACTGGATTGGCACTTCTAATGGCATACTTCGACAAAGGTTTTTTCCTAAATACTGGCTATGCTATCCTAGCAAAATCTAGATTAACAAAGAATCAATTTGAACCTAACAGCAATTTTTTGGCAGTTGAAGGAGTGCCAATAAATGAAACATCGCTTCGATCAGCTATTGGTGAAATCATTGACAGGCTCGCTAGGTAATCATTGGCAGGCTCGCTAGGTAATCGTTGACAGGATCGCTAGGTAATCGTTGACAGGCTCGCTAGGTAATCGTTGACAGGAACGCTAGGTAATCGTTGACAGGCTCGCTAGGTAATCGTTGACAGGCTCGCTAGGTAATCGTTGAGGCCCTAGGTAATCATTGGCAGGCTCGTTAGGTAATCGTTGACAGGCTCGCTAGGTAATCGTTGACAGGCTCTCTAGGTAATCATTGGCAGGCTCGTTAGGTAATCGTTGACAGGATCGCTAGGTAATCGTTGACAGGCTCGCTAGGTAATCGTTGACAGGCTCGCTAGGTAATCATTGACAGGCTCGCTAGGTAATCGTTGACAGGCTCGCTAGGTATACTTTAGGTTCACCCTACTAATTTTTCAATAAGAAATTTTCTATTCTTCACTTTTAAGGCACAAGCATTGCAACTGCACAAAACTTCATTTTTTAATTTGGCTCCTTTTCGCGCTTCTTTCGTTCTTTTCTGTTATTCAAAATTACAAGCGACGCGTTGGTTTATCGTTTTTCTCGTTAGTTTTTCAAATGTTTGTAATTAGATTTTCAAATTTTGTTTTTTTAGGTAAATAATGAGTGAGCTGGAGGCTTGTCTCGTCTTGCCTCGTTGGCTCAAATGCGACGAATATGCTGAAATCTGCACAAATGGATGTGAGAGGGGAAGGTGTAGCTGCTTCAAATCAAACGTTATCTGCAATAGTCATTGCCACCACAACAATAATTGCAACAACAAGTGAAATCACCATATTTTAAGCTTATTAACCGATTATGATACGCAAAAATTTTGTTGATTGTGATTTAGGAAGATGTTTTAAGAAATTTTTTAAATTAAATCTCATAATATTGTTTAATGTCAATAATTAAAAGTAAACATTTTTATAAGAAGTAATTTGAAAAAGACTTTTATTTGAAATGGAGACCACTAAAAAAGTAAAGAAAAAAGTCAAATTCCGTACTCGAAGCGGCTTTACCCAAGCGGATTTACTCTCTATTCTAGCCGACTACTACTCAGCCATCACTGCTTCTTAAAGCTTCTTCATCACTGGGAAATCTGCGTATAAACTCGAGGGATGATTTTTGAAATCCCATACAAAACTTTGAATACTTATAACTTTTGACAGAGTTCTCCGTAACAGAAACGGAAAGCGGATTCAGAATCGGCGTTAAATTCTGTGTCGAATAACCCGTGACACATGTCATTTTACCACACCCAGTTGACATTCCGTAGTTCAAAAATGAAACCCACTCTTCCAGCCGCCAACCTTGGCGTCTCCAATTCGACTGCAGCTTTTCGCTTTACTGAACGTGGCACAACTAAATTTATCTTAAGACCTTTTACCCTTTAAAAAAGCACCTTTAAGAGTTTCAGGCGCTAATTTCTTTATTGACTTCGCTGTTGATGACGATGGTTGTTCGGCTTTTGGAGTCGCCTCCGGATCAAATGGCTCTTCCATGTCCTAAAATATATCAAGACCGTATCATCTTATCACTCTCTCAAAAGATTCTTAATTAACCGTAAATTGCTAATTAACTCACTAAATTCACAAGTGCCTAAGTCTGCTAAATTCTTTATCTCATTAAATTAAAGTCATTAAAGCATGATCTAGAAAACCTTACCCAATATCGCTCAAAACAATTGTAAAGTCCTCTTTGTGCTTTTCCATTGTCTCGATGCAACGTTTAGAGATTTGAGCCAACTGGCCAAGTTTTTTCTAAAAGATCAAAATGTCAAAAACTGAAATTTTCAAAAGAAAACCTTTATTCTTTCGGTCAAAATCATCTCCACACGTTCATTCTCGGTTGCCGCTTCGAGCGCGTGAACGTTCGCTAAATAATTAAATTTATTAATAAAATTTGTTTAAAACCTTAGTCGGAAGTTTTCCTTTCGCAGATCCTCGATTTTTCCTTTGCCGTTGGCCACCTCGAGCTTCAATTGTCGAATTTGCTCCACCATAATTTTGTTCGTTTGCTGATATCCGATGGGTACTAAAAATAAAGTGATTCAAAGCCTTTTAAAGATTTGATGACTTCTATCAAAACCTCTATATAAGTAGAAACTGAACTTCACACTCACAGAACCTTTAAAAGTTAGCATAAAAATTACACACCGTTATTTTCCTTTTCAGCTATAGGACCCTTAGAAGCGGCTTTCGGCGCGATTGAGTCGAGCACCGTCGATCCGGAGAGCATTTTGAGGGGAGATTCAGGGGAAATCGAGTGCTTCTTCCCATTCTCCGACATTTTCTAAAACGAAACTTTAAAAGAGACAGAATTATAAAACAAAAACAGATTCTATGAAAGAAAGAAACGACGTTACAAGAAGTTTTGAAGAAATCTGGCTCCCACCAGAGAATTTTAGAAAAGCTACGTGGTGAGACTGGTAAATTTCTTTTCGTAAAGGTAAAGTTAGAAAAAATAAAATGAACTTTTCAGGAAAAGACAGCTTATAAGCTCGAAAAAAATTCAGTGCAGAAAAAAATAGAAAATGGCTCTACTAAATTTCAGAAATGTTCATTTTCTAAGTTTTCTAAATGAACTAAGCCTAGAAAATGACTACCATACCGCCCATTTCGGGGCAGAAACCCCGAAGCCCCCTTCCTTACTTTCAATAGCCTGTTAAACAAAAATATAGAATATTATGTGAGAAATTGTCGTTTTTTCCCAATAAATGTTTTTCTTTTGTTATATGGCCTACCCATCCGTTGATAAATGGCGGATTCTACGGTTATGAATCAAACCGGACATTATCTTGGTTTAATTATGTGTTGAATTTGACTTTCTCACATATTTTTGGCTAACTTTTTTTACCATTTCTTTCTGGCATTTTTGAATTTGTAGATATCGGTCAATTAACTTATCTCATTCAGATCTCTCGAAATGCTACCGGAACTTCTGTTCTTCAAGGATCTGGATTCTTTTGAGCTGACACCTGAAGATTTGGAGATAGTCTACTTAAAGAAACACTTTCGTTTCAACTATTCGCTCAAATCGAACAAACGGAAATACTGGGTGCAATCATTTCACAGGTTTCAGATCACGATTTCTGACATGATGTTGCAGGTAGTTTAAGTTTTACATTCAAAATGGATTCTTTTTAAGACTGTGGACACGACTGAAGTTTGGCAGGACGCTCTCCTGGTCAATTTGTCCGTCGAATTTGAAGATGTGGCACAGCTAGGAGAGATGGCCTCAAAACTCAAAAACATGGGAGGCTATAAACAGGTTTCTATTACCTTGATCGTGTAGTCCGTCTACGCATACCCGAGAATCGAGTCGAAATTGCTTGTTTAGGTGCGCCCAAGTCCGAAAATCACTTCCGAAGACGAGGAATTCTCGAGTGATGGGGATGAAGAAAGCGATGAGATGGATCTCAACATGTTGGTTGTATTTGCATTAAGGGATAGCTCATTTACATTTGAAAAACTAGCTGATAAAAGCCGAAAATTTTCGATCGTTTCAAAGACTTTCTTCATCAGTTAACATTCTTCGTGACTTTTTTGATTACCGTGTTTATTCTAATAACCGCCGCACTAAACTGATGAAGCCCCGCCCACTCACCTGAGAGACAAAAAGTTGCACCAAATTGCGGGTTTTTACCTAAAAGACCTAATTCGATTTGCTTTATTCGTTGCTGAGAAAACTCAAAAACTTCCTTAGCAATGAATGAAGCAAATCGAATTTGGTTTGCTTTTATAGACGCGCCTATGGAATGTGCACATTCTGACAAAGTTTCAGGACTTTTTAGGTAAAAACCCGCAATTTGGTGCAACTTTTTGCCTCTCAGGTGAGTGGGCGGGGCTTCATCAGTTTAGTGCAGCGGTTATTAGAATAAACATGGTATTCGTTTTTATTTTCGCTAATAGTTTTTGAAAATCAGAATACTTATTATAGTTCTTACATCTATACATAAATCTTGATTAGTTATCCTCGTATTATTCGCCGATTTTACATTTTTCTTTTAGTCTCATCGGAATGGGACCCAAAATCATGTTTCATGATGTTGCTGCAGGTTTCACGGTCAATGCCAACCATTTTGAACTGACCTATGACGGTGAGAATTATCGCTTCATTCACGGCAACGTGAATCCTCCGCGGCGGCGTCGAAACCAACAGCTACCTCGTCAATTTACCACCAAACGCGGATTGAATTCTGTACCGACTCGGTCATCTGCTCATATGCTAATCCCGGGAGTAATGTTACAGGTAGGAAATTTCTCTTATAAGTTGATTGATTGGATTATTTTTAGAAAGAAGATCCCCAGAAGGTCTGGCACAATGTGGACATAATGGATGTTTACATTGAATTCGATGGGCCTGGTTGCCAAGGAGCTTGTAGTGATTTGGCGCGCGGTTTGGAAGCCCAGGGATACGTGGATGTTTCACGAGGTTCGGTTTGATGTTTTAAGAAATAGCTCGGATTGATTAAATCTATTTGCAATAATCACTCATAATCTATGTAGGATGGAGCCTTTACGGGGAGTCATTAGCATTGATCATATGAAGATTCATTTTCCTCAGTCTTTGATCGTCAAAATATAATAATTGTGTCTAGATTTTGATTTTGAGACTTCAAGCTTCATTGATTTTTTTCAGGATGAGCTGCCCGAGACCATGACAACAATTACTGATTCGACCGGATCTAGCTTCTGTTAAAATTTTTGTCGTTCTTTCCCAAAAAATGTTTTTCTTTTGTTATATGGCCTACGAATTCGATGTAAACATCCATTAGGTCCACATCATGCCAGACGCCAAGTGGTGTTTGTTTCTAAAAATAATTCAATCATTTAATTTATAAAAGAGGAATTTCCTACCTGTAACATTACTCAAACTCACCTATAACGGTGAGAAGCATCGCTTCATCCACGGCAACGTGAATCCTCTGTAGCGGCGTCGAAAGCAGCAGCTGACTCGTCAATTTACCACCAGACGCGGATTGAATCCTCTATACTCGGTCATCTGCTCATATGCTAATCCCGGGAGTAATGTTACTTTGAGCCTCAGGGCGATAAAAAGATAAAAAATTGCTCGTTTTGCGTTTTAAGGTTGGCTTTGTGTTTGAAAGGTGAACACCTCATTGATTGATTATTTGTTTTTGCTAATGTTCCTTGTTGTTTTTTTGTTATTTCTTGGTTTTTTAGGTTTAAATTTAGCCATAGTGAATATTTCCTTTGGTATTGGCAGCCTTGTAAATCTTTACGCTATTTACTTTACTTTACTAAGCCTTCACCCCAACAAACCAACATTTTTCTGGGATTTCCCTCTGTTCGATCTCTTCGATACCAGCTTTTTTTGCTGATATCGAAGTATCGAGGTATACTCAAGTGGTCCGAGGCTCATCGATAGGAAGTCGTTTTGGAAGAAATGAAAAAATATCGATGCTTTTTAGGCTAACTTGCGTTTCTTTTAACTCGCTTGATAAAGCCTGGCAGCGCTTTGAAAACGCGAAGAAAGCTTTGAAAAGCGAATTTTGCCCAAGTTTTAAATATTCGAAAATCATTGGGATTTCCATTCCGTAAAGTCGTCTTTTTTGATAGAATGCCATTTTGCAGAAACCAAAAAGCTGATTCGGATTCAGCGTGAAATTCTGCGTCGTATGGTCGTATAGCCCTTATCATTTTGTCACATCACTCTTGTGACCTTTCCTTGTAATTAAAATTACTGAAAATTTCAGTGCCTTCGTTTTAATCACCAGTCTTTATTGATAAAAAACAAAAGCATCTTTTATTTACCAGACGCTTTTATTTACGGAGCTTCGAATGGCACTAATTATACTTAAAGGCCGATCGATCAGGCTAAAAATCGGAATATAAGTGTAAAAATGTTATAAAAATGAAATTATAGCAAACTTTAAGTAATCTGTCACATTTTCGACTTAATTTGCTTTTATATAAGGCATAACACATATTATGAGCCATCCTGTACAGTAAGCAAATGTATTGTACAGGGGTTGAGCTTCATACTTTGTGCACACAAGTAAATTCTCGCTTTTTGCCACATTGAATCATTCAAATTCTTCCCGTTTATATTGGGTTGGTGAATTGAAAATTGCCGGAAACTTTGAACTAGAATTTATTCAAAATAAAACCATGAATTCACTCGAAATAATCTCCATTATTATTGACGACTTCTGCCCATTTTACAGGCAATTTGCGGATTCCTCTTTCGTGATAGGATTTTGCTTTTGAATCGAAAAACTTTCAAAGCCAAGTTTTGACTGCTTCTTCCGAATCAAAGTGTTCTCCCGCAAGCTCATAATCCGGAATAAATAGTAATCAAAAGGGGCGAGGTCCGGACTGTATGGGGATGCACCAAAAGTTCTCAAACAAGGCTGTTTACTTTAGAGTGAGTCAGTTTTGCAACATGAGGGCGCGCGCTGCCGTGAAGGAGAACGATCTTTGACTTGGAGGGCCTATTCTTCTTTAGGGATTCATTTACCTTTTCCAATAATATTTAATAATACTTATAGATCTTGGGTTGGTGAATTGAAAACTGCCGGACTTTGAACTAAAATTTATTCAACATAAAACCATGAATTCATTCCAAATAATTTCCATTATGATTGACGACTTCTGCCCATTTTACAGGCAATTTGCGGATTCTTCTTTCGTGGTAGGATTTTGATTTGTGTGTGAGACAAGTGTAAGACTCAAAAATGGAGGACTGGAGATGTCCCAGTTTGAGCATTTGAGCACTTTCTTCAAAAGAAACCCATTTTGGTGTCAATAGAAAAGTTGTAGAGAATCAGAAATTGGGCTTATAGCCAAATTTCCAAAAAGATACACTTAGTAGTTTCGCTTAAAATACAAGTTTTGTGAAAATTCATAAATTTGGCATTTCTTGAAAACCAGTTTTTGAATCGTTCTGAAAATTTGGATATAAGCTTGATTTTTGATTCTCTACAACTTTTCCATTGACACCAAAATGGGTTTCTTTTGAAGAAAGTGCTCAAACGGTCACATATGACAATACCCGGCAGTTTTCAATTCACCAACCCAATAGTTAGTTTTAAAGCTGATAGCAGTAAAGAATCAATAAGAATTGAATTTTTAGGGATTTACTTGAAATAGCTGATGCTTGACCCCAAAATTGAGCCTTTAAGCGAAAAGCAAAACGAAAGAAAGAAAGAAAATTTAGAAATTGATTTCAAACGATGAAGAAACTTTTCAAATAAATAAAAATCAAGAAAAAGTTTGAAAAATTTTAAAACTTGATACATTGTTGATTGAAAAAAAAAGGAAAAACATTGAATTTTCTGCTTGCGTGGGCTTGCGTCAAACAAATTGCTCAAAGCCAACAAGTACGAACATTTTGCAGCTCCGCCATTCAGCACATTGATAAAAGTTTTGAAAATCTTTCGCTGAGTAATGCGCTAACTTTGTGTTTGTGTTTGATTTCGATTTATTTTCGTTTTTCTGAATTTCTGAAGACATAAAATTATATTACAGAAATGAAAAAACCCTCATTTCTTGTTAGACGAAAGTCGAAAGATTCTAAGTTTCAAAAGATTTTATCTTGAAAAAAATGGAGCCAGAAAATGGAACTTTTGAAATGAAACCTTTTGAAACCTTTTGAAATCGGTGACTTTACGATTTGTGTCATTTTTTGTTTAAATGCTTGGCTTCTATATAAAATGGATAGATTCAACTGAAAAGTATCAACTTTTGAAAATGCTCGCAACGATTGCTGTCTGCTGTCTGCTGACTTGTGTGCTGACTTGCCAGCCACCAGGTTTTGTTAAAGATTATGTTTGTTAAAGGCTTGTTAAAGATTTGTTAAAGATGTTTTCTTAATGATTTCTTTGTCATCAGCGATTTTGAGATTATCTGAAACTTAGGCACTGGTGCTCTCTCAACAAATCCCACATTTTCTTTTGAAGTTCAACCACCGCTTCGTTGGTCCTTTCATGTTGGAGCATCAGCTTTCCCTGGTCAGCCAATTTCTAAAGCGGCTGCTCAAACAAATTTCAAAGATGACATCGAGTTGGCGGTGGGTTTTTGAAAATCGTCTTTCTGATAAAAATACTTTCAAAACCTAAATAGGGCTTTTAAAAAGCTCACTTCTTTAGTATTTCGGTCACTTCTTTTCCACTTCCACTTCTTGCTTTTCTTATTAACCTTTAAGACTCCAAATCAAGACATTTTCAAGATTCAGGCATTCAGGATTCAGGCAAACAAAACCTATCAAAACTTTAGGTGTACAAAGCGTTGAACTCAAAGTCGATCCCACTCTCATACGCGTCCAATCTAAATGTGGGAACAAACCCGGTTGATGACATCACGATTATTGATGACATCATGATATGCGGAACCGCCATCACCACAGTGAACCCAATAGCTGTCTTTAGAAAGCCTAGAAAGCCAAGAAAGAGGAGATCCTAGAAAGATTCTAGAAAGCCAAGAAATAGAAGATCGAGGGTTCAATTCCCTTCAATGTCTTTTTCTTTTGCCAAATCCTTATTTCACTTGAAATCAAAACTTTAGGAAGGCCTTCTCTCAGGCAATCATCGCACGATTCTCAGCATTTGCAATGGCTCCTCTTCTTCGATAAAGTATTCAGTTAAAGGCACAATTGGGGCACGTTTGTTATTGTTTAAATCATAAGTATTAGGTTTAGCTGGTTGATTTAGCTGTAGCAGGTGTACTATAAATCATAAAGATGGACCTGGTACACTTTAAGTATCATTCTGGGTCTAGTTCTCAGCTAAGCGATCACTTTTTGTGATAGGTGCTTTCAAAGAAACCGAATTTTCAAGAAATTCTAGGTGAAAAGCACAGTCGCTCTTTACGAAAGCACATGGAAATCGTTGGCATCAACGGTAAGCAATCAAAATTCTATAGTGCATTAGTTTCAGGTACAACAAGAGCTCACAAACAAAGGCGCCATCTTTGTCAAACCGATCACCGTGAAGCTTTGAAAATGTTTCCAAGGAATACTTTTTATAGAAAATATTTAAAATCCAATTCAAAAAAATAAAGCTTATTTTCTGTTCAAAGATTCTGCAGCGAAATCTTGTTCTCTTTGTCAAAAAGATTTCACAAACATTCGAGTTTTTTCGAGTGAGATTCGAATGTGAAAGCGTCTTGTTGCTAACATTTTCAAAAGGTTTCCCGAAAACAACAATGGCACTCACTTTTTTTTAAAAATATGTTTAACAATATCACAATTCAAGCTCAATTCATAATTCACGCATGACGATAAAGCTCACAAAGAGACTTTTTTAAAAAGTCTCATATATAAAAGAAAATCTTTGGCTTAACATTTTTCATTGTCAGAAATGCTATCGAGAAGTCACATCGCGATTCTGTTGAGCACATTATGTTTGACAAAAGCTTGCGGCCCTGATGGTAATGCTACTGTAGATTTTGTTTAGGCTTTAAGGCTTAGGCTTTAAGGCTTAGGCTTTAAGGCTTAGGCTTTAAGGCTTAGGCTTTAAGGCTTAGGCTTTAAGGCTTAGGCTTTAAGGCTTAGGCTTTAAGGCTTAGGCTTTAAGGCTTAGGCTTTAAGGCTTAGGCTTTAAGGCTTAGGCTTTAAAGTTTTTGTCGAACTTCTTAGCTTTGCAACTTGTTCCTGTCTTGTCTAGGCTTGTCTAATCTTGTCTAAAGCTTCCTATTTTTGAAAAGTTTTCATTTTCAAAGTCTCCAAAAGCTTTTTAGCTCAGCCGGCGAGAACTGGAATAATCAAACTTACGGTTATCCCGTCGGTGGGATGGACATATTATGATGCTGAACCAACGGCCATCAATTCGGAAACCACAAGTCCGGAGCCGGCAATGAGTATCGGCGGTGGCCAGGTTTGATTCTTTCTAAACTTTAGTTGATACTGCTACAGTAGTTTTTCATAGACATGAGAAAATTCCAACCCAAACCTAGTTTCACCTTCGTTTTCTTGGCCGATTCTTGGCTGATGCTTGGCCGAGAAAACGAAGGTGGAATTGGGTTCGACTTGGAATATTCCCAAGTCTAGCTTTTCAGTCTGTATTAATTCTATTTAGACTGACGATAAAACCGTCGCAAAACAAACAATCCAGGACAACATTGAAGTGGATGTGAGTGGTTTTAAAGAATAAAAATACGTCATCAGCTTTCAGGTCTTCCACGTGCTCCAAAACCTCAAAATCATGGCTACCGTCAAAACGACAAATACTTTCGATCCAATAATGGCCGACAAATTACTTCCACTAGAATGCAAGCCAGCTGAATTAATCACGGATATCGTCGATTGCAGCCCGGAAAGCGACGCCGAGATGTCAGGTGTGTAAGGGTTCAAAAAAGCGGTTCAGAAGAGCCCAGTTAACTCATTAGTAGTTCACTTGTGTAAATCGGTCGAGATCTCGAAAAGTGCTTATCAGAACCTATCGATGTGGGGTCGGAAAATGTAGCTGACGATGAGATCTTGTGGGAATTAAAGTGTTGAGCTTCTGCGAAAACTTTGGAAACCGTAAAATAGTCATCAACGGGGAAAATACGGTACTTTGACTTTGGTTCGCGAGAAAAGAATTGACTGGTAACGAATTATCGATCTCCAATAGGCCTATTTTTAGGGGATATCGTCATCCAACTTGAAACGGCAATTCCGGAGGGTGAATTCGAGACCATACTTCAAGGGGTTTGTTTAAAAGAAACTGTTCAAACAAGAAAATTATTAGAAAAATTATTTATTAGGTTGTCCAGTTATAAATGCGCGTTTTTAAGATAACAACTCTTTATCTTAAAACCAACAGTTTAACCGCTCACTCAACAATATATTCACCATTTGTTAACAATATTTGTTTCCATCTTCCATGCAAAGAATGAAATCCCTCCGCGTAAAAATTGGCTTGTTTTGAGGCAGGGAAGTCAGCTATCCATTTTTCGACCTCTTGAACTTCTTTGAACTTGTTTCCGGCCAAATGGTTTTGCATTGAGCGAAATAAATGGTAATCCGAAAGAGAAATATCCAGAGAATATGGCGGATGCGGGAGAGTTTCCTAGTCCAACTCTTCGAGTTTTTCTTGAACAATCTTTGCAACGTGTGGACGGGTGTTATCTTGAATGAACTTTATGTTTGAAGGATCAAGGCCTTTTTGTAGCAATACATTGTTCACTCGTTCCAGTTGTTGTGCATACGTTTCACCCGTGATTGTTTGTCCAGGTTTAAGCAGTTTAAAATAAACAATGCCTTGGAAATTCCACCAGACAGTAAGCATTACTTTCTTGTCATGGAAGTCGGGTTTTGGTGTTGGTATTGGCTTCCTCACCAGGTTCTAGCCATTGCGGTTTTCGTGTAGAATTATCATATTGAATCCATTTTTCATCGCAAGTAAGGATTTCATCGTAAAACCCAGTATTTTTTGCCAAACGAAGAAGAATACCCGTCATAGTGATACGAGTAGCTTTATTGGCATTGCTGAGAAGATGAGGAACCCATTTCCCTTGTCGGCTTGTTTTCCCCAATTGATTTAAATGCTCGGAAATTGTTTGAGGGCTTACTCTAAATATTTCTGCAAGTTCACGTGTAGTTTGTCGAGGATCCATTTCTATCGCCTGCTTCAGTACTGCATTATCGATCGCAGGAGGTCGTCGTTGGTGGTCTTCGTCTTCCAAAGATTCATTTCCTTCTCGAAATCGTTGAAACCACTGGCTTTCCGAAATAGCATCTTCGTCAAATACTTTGCAGAGATCTCGATGGGATTCAACGGCATTTTTGCCCAATTTGAAGTCATACCAAAAACTGGCACGAAGACGAGACTTCGTCTCGGTCATCTAAACACGGAAATTAAATCAAAAATCAATTAGTTTAACGTCCAAAACACGAAAAGTTGTAATAAATAAGCAATCTTGAACAGCATATAGAGAATAGGGTTTGATAAAATTGTATAGCCCTAAGGTACGCTGTTCAAGAGCATGCGCGCATTCATAACTGGACAACCTAATATTTCACGAGACAATATTCTCATAGAATCAACTAGAACAGTACATCCCACAAGCTCTAACAATTGCAAGAACTTATTTTAGGTCGTCGATGAGCTGATAGAGCAAAGCCGGGCTAGAATCGTCAACAACGAGTTTTCGTACAAGGCTTAAAAAGCGCCAATGGCTGGCTGGTAATGTAGGAATGTGTTTACCGAATAAACAAAAAGCGTTTTGTTGCAAAGATTATAAAGAGCAAATACACCATCGTATAGAGCTTGTTTTAAGCTTTGAGAATCACTATAAAACTTCTAGTCGAAGATGGAAACGCTTGAAGTTATAGCTCTTCAAAGATGGAGATGATAATCTGATTATCTTTGTCTAATACTATACCTTTTACCAGCCAAAAACTGCTATTGTTTGTAAAAAAGTTTATTTTGCAACTTCACCATTGTCTCAATCGAGATCGAAAGTCGGAGTCTCAAAGACGTCAAACAGTTTCCCGTCAAGCATCTTGAATTTAGTGCTTTTAAAAGAGCTTAGGAATGTGCCTTAATGTAATATTGAAACACACACTTTCTGGTGCACTGAATTCCCTGGAGGTTCCTTGAAAACTTTAAAACTTGAAAGAAAGTCATTGAATAAATCGATCTGTTTCAAAATTAGCCACTTCTGAATGGATTTAGAATAATGGGAAAGATCTAGTTAACAATTTAAACCAATTTGCCCAGTGACTGGTTCAACGGGTTCAGTGGTGGTTGGCGACTCGATGCCAGTTATTGGATCGATCGTTGTGGTGGTCTTAGTGTCTGTCGATTTTATCTTTATCTGATGATGTCCTTCCCCATTTCTGCTGACTGCCCACTGTTCCGGGATACGAGAAAATGACGGTAAGGATGATTTCAAGGTTCGCCGTTCCTCGGCTGGCAAGTTGAACTGTAAAATGTACAAGGTTTGTATTTTTGGTGCTCTTTGCCAGCCAGTAGCATTACAGCACTGAGTTGGACACGCCGATCCTTTTTATGAGTTGGGGCTGAGAATACAAACATGGTCGGCGCCGGGGTTCGAACCTGCGATCTCTCGCCAACCGGGCGAACCAATGAGCTACATCGACACGAATCCCATTGCCGCCAGGAGGGCCTTATGCTTTACTACTGATTACTTATTCTTTTAACTGATTACTTTTTTTAAGCTTAAGAATGTTCGGCTCAGTACAGCCTTATCTCTATCTACATTTGTAATCTCCAACCAAAATGCTGAGTGAATTGCAAAATAGTTAGCACAAGCACTAGCTTAAAGATAAGACTTAAAGATAAGGTAGTACAAGCACTTTTCTTTAGCTTAAAGACAAGACTTAAAGCCCGGACCTTTCGAGCAAAGTAGAAATCTTTGGTGGTTAACGTAGCAACGCTCAAACTATTTAAAACCCAAAGAGTTTAGGTGCAAAAGGAGCTCACAAAGTCGGGCGCCATCAGCCCAATTACCGTAAAAGTTTAAAAAGTAAATGTTTTTGAAAAGAAAATTAAAAGGTTTTGTACATATTATTTTAAATTTCTTGAATCATTTTGAAACTTGATCAGAAATTGTGTTTGGTTTGCATAGACGTCTCGCGAAACGAAAAGAAATCAGATCACACAAAGAGGGCCGATGACGATTCGACTGTAAATTCACAATCGAACAAAGCTCAATTGAAAGCCATCTTTTTCACGCACAACAATAACATATTATAAAGAAATCTTCTTCAAATTTTGCAGATATAAAAGCAGTTTTGCTTGAATGATTCGTCAGATTGTCCCAATATTCAAATGCTATCCCGAAAACACATTGCTGTTTTGTTGAGCTCATTATGCTTGGCCAGGGCTTGCACTCCTGCTGGTAATGTTGTTTTATTTTATTCGTTTTGAAATATTTTAAAACTCCATCTCAAAAACAATGTTAATGTTTTTGCCAAACTTTCAGCTGAACCAAAGACTATCGGAACGGTCAAACTAGTTGTGAACCCGTCGGTTGGATGGACATATTATGACGCTGTGGCACCACCAAATCCCCCAGCGTCCTGGAATCAAAGTCCTCTTGGTGGTGGTCAGGTTTGTACTATGAATTTTTTGGTATTTTGCTTACATTTTATTGAACTGGGTTTTCTTTGGTGACTTCAGATGTAGATAGAAATCTTGAGACTTGACAAACGTTTACAATTATTTTTTTAACTTAAAATGAGGTATTATTTTAAGGGCCTTGACCTTGGATCTTGGATTTGAATTAATTTTAAACTCTTATAGTTTAGACAAATGACCCAGCTGTTGCAGAACAAGCAATCCAGGACAACATCGAAGTGGCTGTGGGTTCACTGATTGAAAATCTAATGGCGCTGTTCAATCCTTTTCAGATCCTCTTTTTCAACTCAATGCTTTAATTTTAGCTTTTCCACGCTCTCCAAGATAACAATATTGTTGTCAACATCAAATCAACAACGAACACTTTCAAAACATTGATGGCCGATACAAATCTCCCACTAGTTTGCAAACCCGTTGAGACGATCACGGAGATTGTTAGTTGTCCGGATGATGGCACAGATGGTGCAGAGATGTCAGGTAAGATTGTTCTTACAACTCTAGCGAATTGTACAAGTGCTAGTTTCACCGGGACTGAAACGGACGTGCAGATGAAAGGTGAAAGTGTTCTTAAATCTGAAAAGTTCTTAGTTCTTACTGAAAAAACGTACTAATGCAAGGCTATCAAAATCATCTTGAAAAAATTTAGGTGAGATCACAATCGAGCTCGAGACAGCGTTGCCCGAAGGAGAATTTGAGAGTCTGCTCCAAGGGGTTAGTTATTGAAAGTATTTGGATAAGATTTGACTTTACAAAAAATGCTACTAACTTGTTACTAACTTGTTTTTAGGTCATCGATGATCTAGAGAAGCACAGTCGAATCGAAATCGTTTCCAGTGCCGATGTTATCTTTTCATACAAGCCCTAGAGTAAGAGGATCATCTTAGGAATTTGATAAATGAATAAATGTAAACTTATATGCGGTTCAAATTTCAAAAAAGCAGCCAAAGTCGAGCAGAATTCAAGATCAAAGATACAGTACTGGACAATGAAATATCATATTTGAAAAACGATCGTCACTTTCTCGCGTCTGTAACTCCCTTGTCTTTGAGCTTAAACTATTAGTGTTATACATTTTCTGAAAGCTCTTTTTAAGGGCTACACAATGGTAATATTAATATTTAGAAATACGGTAAAGACAAGGAAGTTATTTCATTGTCCAGTAATGTATAAGAAGATTGAGAAAAGCGATGAGAAATGGAAACTGAGAATGGAAACTTTTTTAATGTACTCATTTGATTTTGCAGTTTGAACAAGATTTTGCAAAGTCTTTATTCGATTAAAACTCAGAATTTTATCTAAGCCTTTTTAGCCTCTAAGCGAATTGAAAAGTTGGAGTCTCAAAGATGTCAAAAAGTTTTCCATCAAGATCGAAGAGCATCTGGAATTTAAGAATTTTAAGCAGAAATGCATCCATTTTTTGCGGAGAAATTCGCGGGAAACGAAAAAGGCTGTTTTTACGCTATTTAGCATACAAAAAACACTCAATAACAACTCGAAATTGGGCCAACTTTCACAGAATGCTAGCAGTACCTCTCTGAAAACATCCTCGAACTTCAGCTTATCAATGCTCGCATCTAAATCGAGCACGATGTTGCCTGAAATGGGTTTTGTTTTCTGAATCAATTCAAACCAAAAAAGGTTTATAAATTTGATTAGAATACTTCAAGGACTTAGTATTTTAATTCTCAACTACCTCCAGCAAAAAACGGATCCGAACCGCAGAAAATGTACTCACTCGTGAGATTCCCTGAAAAACAAGTCTTGAAATCTTTTTTGGCATGATAAGAAAAAATCCTTTGATTTTCTTTTGATTTCTTTTGGTCTTTCTTTTGGTCTTTTGGTCTTTCTTTTTTTCTTTTGGTTAAAAAAAATTGCACTTTATTACTTCTTGGTTATGCCATCTCTCCCGATTAATTTTGAAACACAAAAGAATTTCTCTCTTAAATTTTAATTTAACTTTAAATGAACGTTAATATTTATTAATATATTGGGTTGGTGAGTTGAAAACTGCCGGCTATTATCATGTCACAGTCTGAGCACTTTCTTCGAAAGAAACCCATTTTGGTGTCAATGGAAAAGTTGTAGAGAATCAAAAATCAAGCTCATATCCAAATTTTCAGAACGATTCAAAAATTGGTTTTCAAGAAATGCCAAATTTACGAATTTTCACAAAACTTGCATTTTAAGCGAAACTACTAAGTGGATCTTTTTGGGAATTTGGCTATAAGCCCAATTTCTGATTCTCTACAACTTTTCTATTGACACCAAAATGGGTTTCTTTTGCAGAAAGTGCTCAAATGCTCAAATGCTCAAACTGGGACACTCCAGTCCCCATTCTTGAGCCCACACTTGTCCACACACAAATCAAAACCACACGAAAGAGGAACCGCAAATTGCCTGTAAAATGGGCAGAAGTCGCAATAATAATGGAAATTATTTGGAAGAATTCAGGTTTATGTTGAATAAATTTTAGTTCAAAGTCCGGCAGTTTTCAATTCACCAACCCAAGATCTATAAGTATTATTAAATATGAATTGAAAACTGCCGGCTATTGTCATATGTGACCGTTTGAGCACTTTCTTCAAAAGAAACCCATTTTGGTGTCAATGGAAAAGTTGTAGAGAATCAAAAATCAAGCTTATAGCCAGATTTTCAGAACGATTCAAAAACTGGTTTTCAAGAAATGCCAAATTTACAAATTTCCACAAAACAAAACACAAAAGCGAAACTACTAAGTGTATCTTTTTGGAAATTTGGCTATAAGCCTAATTTTTGATTCTCTACAACTTTTCTATCGACACCAAAATGGGTTTCTTTTGAAGAAAGTGCTCAAACTGGGACATCTCCAGTCCTCCATTTTTGAGTCTCACACTTGTCTCACACACAAACCAAAATCCTATCACGAAAGAGGAATCCGAAAATTGCCTGTAAAATGGGCAGAAGTCGTCAATAATAATGAAAATTATTTCGAATGAATTTATGGTTTTATGTTGAATAAATTTTAGTTCAAAGTCCGGCAGTTTTCAATTCACCAACCCAATAATTAAAACTTACAGA